AAGGGAGTAACATTTTTGATAGTTAAAGGTGCAAAACATGTTACTGTCATACCTTGGTAGAACAAGCTCTCTCTCTTTTTTGATGTTTAACTATTTGTAGTCTGTTTTAGTCCTCCTGTTGTAGAAGGATGCTTTAAAACAAAGCTACGTTGAAAGGCTGCTCTATAGGATCCCTGGGAACGCTGGGTTTTTTAAGTCTCACATCTCACCTGAAGGAAAGCTACTTAGAAAGTGTGGCATTGAAAAGGATGAATGGCAAAGAGAAACAGATAAATTGACAAGAAGCTATAGTGGAGGGGTAGTATGGCCAATGACCTTTAAATGTGGCTGGGAGATTTTCTTGTTGAACTGTTGAGGGAAGTGATCACCTCAGAGAGCAGTTAGAATAAAATGAACTGTTGTAAGAACATGCTGAGAAGTGTGCAGTATGGCACTGGGAACCTCTAGATAAAATTATTGCAAACTCATTTTACTGCTCTAGATTGCTATTAAACTTCCCAATAAGAATAAGCATCTAAATTTCTCTTGAGGACACCAGCATTCACTTGAGAGTTTTTTTTTTTTTTTTTCTTTTTTTTTTTCTTTGCTGATAGACCTATAGGGAAGTATTTCTATTGGAGTGATAGGGGAAACTGTAAATAACCAGGGTAGGAAAGTACATTATTCCCTTCACCATGGACTGTTAGTCTGTCTTGAGAACAAATGCTGTGAAAGACTGCACCGTTAAAAGTGGTAGGTACTCATGGTAGGTACTCACTTGCTATTAATGAAGCAAGACCAGTGCACTCTGGTCTTTTGGCTTTCTCAGTATAAACTACCTTTGAAGCTCCTGTGGGGTAAGAAGTCCTGATGTGGCTTTTAGAAGGGTCCTAGCAGAGGTGAAATACTGTTATCCGGCTAGAAGGAAAAGGTAAGGTTTTTGTTTTGACATATTGCTTACTTCTGTTACTTTTAGTGTGACTGGAGGAGAGGTGGTATTCTGGAAATAGTTTTAATCCAGAGTGTTGCTCTCACTTCCCTTTAAAATTAGTACCCTAGAACAGTAATTAGATTGTGTTTTCCATAGTAATGCATGTGGAAATATCATGCTCCTCTTAAAGGTTCCTGTGAGGATCATCTGAGTTATTATCTTGGGTATTTAGCAGAAAATTTTTAATGTATTTCTGTATCTAGTTGTAAATCACAAACCTAATTTATTTTGCAGTGGATTAGAAGTATTGCTTGTTTTGCTAATATCATTGGTGACTTAAAGTTAATAAAATTTGTTTTATGAATGAAAAAAGCATGCTTAACCATCAGTCTTATTTTTTAAAATTATTTCTTCTCTGAGTAAAACACAATATTTTGACCAAAACCACCATTTTAGAATTAAAATGTAAGTCAGGAATAATGCTGCTGGGGCTATGGAGTGGCACTGAGTGTGTACCTGCTAAAGAGATTCAAAGATTAAAGTGTGAGTGAATAGGCACAGAACATTTCAGTGTTTCTTCTGGCTTGAAATTATATTCTGACACAAAAGACAAGAGCAGAAGGGAAACTTTTGGGAAATCACTGATATACAATAAAGATGAAACTAATAGGAGCTGGCATCTAGATTTGTTTTTAGCACAACAGCAGTATATCATGTCTGAATATGGGATCAGTTTTCTGAAAATTGCTACCATGAATATTCTGAGAACGGTTGGATGAATAATTTCGAAGAGTATCTCTGAGCAATAAGTAAAAATAAAGGGAGGAGAGAGTAGAATTACATGAGCTGTACTCAGGGCAAACTAGAAAAATGAGAAAATCAGGCCAGGTGAGGGAGACTTGGGAAAATGTCACTGATACCCTTCCTATTATCTGAGCAGTAAAGCAGTTTGTTTTCTAGCTTGAGATGGTGTATTTTCATATGGCTAATGGACTATAAAATAATAATAATTAAAATAATAAAACAAATAATTAAATTGTGTGGATAAGACACTGATACTCATTTTTCTGTGGAAAAATATAGCCTTTTTAGATGAGCATAAATATTTTTTCTTATGCATATCATCAAACAAAAACAGTGTATGCTCAAATAATATATATTTTCTCTATCTAAAGCAGAAACTAAAAAAGAAAAAAAAAAAAAAAAAAAAAAAAGGCATGAAAAGCAACCATTTTGACCTTCCAAGGAACAATTTTTAACCTTACCTTACCTGTAAGCCCTAAGATTCATCAGCCAGATGGACTTGTGCCCTGATTCTGTGATTTTGTAGTAATTCGCACAAAGTGAAGTTAGTTGTTCTTGAAGAGAGATAAAACTCAGCTCCTCTCTTGAGATGATATCACTGTGTTACTCAGAGAATGGTAATCATGGAGAATCAATTAGAAAGGAGGAAAATTGATGGTACTGTCATTTGCTGTCTTGCTATTCATTAGTGGAGTAAAGTAGAAGGTTTTTCTGAATTGTGATTTTTTTATATTTGAAATCTTTGTAATTCATACTCGCAGAACATGAAGTTAGAAATGCTTTTCATACTTAAGACATTAAGTTAGCAGCACTATTTTTATAGTAAGAGTGATTAATAATTTGAACTGAGCAGTAAATGTCCATGAGAATGCACAATATTTATTAACTTACCGAATGCTTTAATTTTATTGTTTTCTTACACATTGAAAGTCCTTTGAGATTCATTTTAAGTGACAAAGGATTCAACTAAAATTATTTGAGCATATGAAGTTGCGGTGCTACAATATGCTGTGACAATGGCATAAAGATTAAAGGTGTGGGTTGTTTTTTCTTCTTATTGCTGCCCATGAAATGTCTTCAGAAAAAGAAGTATCTCACGAGGTCTAATTGCTGATCCTTCTGTGAAAGACATATGGTTATGCTGTTTTTGGAAATGTGCTGTTTTCATCTCTCTCACACTCGCAAGTATTCAGAAATTGTCATTCAGAAAGGAACACATTAATGTGCAGTAGTGCTTTTTTTTTTTATATATTCAGGAGAACAGGTCAGCGCACACAAATAGGAATGTTGAATATTATAATGAAATGTGATGAAGTTGTACTTCTTTAAATATTGAAGATGCATCGTACATTTTGATAATGGAATAATGGAGACTCCCTACCCCAACCATCATCTCTGTTCAAGACCATTAGGATTCAGAATATTAAGAGCAGACCAACTGGGCGTAACAGCCTACGTTCAACATCTGTCGTGCTCGAGTCCATTAGTGTTCAATTGCATCCTATTGTTTTTGGATTATTCAACCTCATTTCATTGTCATTGCTTCTGCTAGAGATTAATCAGCTGTTTACAACTACTTCAAGTTTTAGAGTCATAATGAAAACGATTGAGTCATAGTTCTAAATAAATATACAGTATTCAGTCTCTAATGAAAAAAACTTAGTAATTTATGAATGCTGGTAACAGTTTAATTAAGTCTAAAATCAATACAGATAATAAATCATTGTGTGGCAGTTTTTTTTAACCTTTTGTGTATAAGATAACATGTTCATATGATTTTTTCCTTGTAATGTATGTGGATAATGGTTTTAATAGTACAAGTACTGTAAAACCAAGATTATATTCTGTGTGCCTGAATGGTGACTTAACTGTCACTAGAGCTAGTAGCGCAAACAAGCTCTTACAGCCAGAAAGCAGATTCATCTTTTCCACACTTTCTTTTATTCTTGTTACTTATTTGGGGATATTCCTAAGAGGGCACATTCTGTGTTTACATTCACATAAATATGCATATATACGTTACGCAGAGGGTGTTAAAAAGAACAGTTTTCAGACTGTACTGGTGTGTCTGTATCTCAACCTCTCCAAATACTTTAAAAATTATTCGATAATTCCATAGCTACATTTTAACTGTTTAAACTTGTTCTGAATTATTTTCATGATGTTGCTGACATGCAAATATATAATCTCAGTTTTTCTCGAGATACTGTTCTCTTCTCACTGGTCTGTATTTGAGTCCTACAAGATTCCCGATAATTTGAGTTTGTTTGCTTTAGTCTTGTACAGTAAAGCACAGTACTATTCTCTGTCACACAACACCAAGCTAATTCTTCTCTGTTTTGTTGGAGCAATTTTTTTTACTCCTAATACTATCTACCAGAATTTTCAGATATTTTGAAGTGCAAATGCTACAATGCACAGTGAGAGTTTTTTTTCTTCCCTGAGTTGCAACAGATTATCAATTGAAAGGATCTTTTGCTTAACTGCCCAGAGTCTTGTGGGGCCAGCCAGACACGGCTCCAGATGGCAAGTTGTTAGGGCTGGACAGAATGGCTTTGGAAGACTTCTCAACAGATGAAGGCTGTAATGTTCGGGTTTTACTGTTGTTTTTTTTTTTTTTTTTTTCTTCCCCCTGTGGTTCCCAGGCTGGGAAGGTACTGGGATGGAAGCAGAGTGCCGCCCGCCCACCTGCTACCACCTGTTTAGCTTCAGCAATTTCTATAAAGCCTCTTCGAGTCTGTAAGACACGATCATTGCTTACCGGCGGCAGTCAAGAAGGGAGAGATTTCTGTTAGAAGTTACATCTTCAGATTGCAACAGTTCTTCTTATCAAAACATCCTCCTAAACTGCATCAGAACTCCTTCCAAGTGAAACGGCCATTGGAGTGGATGTCTTTTTAATCCATTAATATCCTTTCTGGCTTAAAAGGACCTTTTTCTTCACTAACTCGTGTTTTGAGGATGGAGATTTTGTTGTTTTTTTATCTATGTCATTGAGTTTACAGAAATGAGAAGAATGAAAGCATAAGGCATTGAGAACTCTTTATTCTTTCATTAAACAATAAGCAATTTTCAGACACTTCCAGAAGAGCCAGAAGAGCCAGAAGAGTTTTTTATTTTTTTATTTTTTATACTAAGATAAATATCTCATCGACAATATCTGGAAAAAGATTCAAGAGGTACACAGGCTACTTATAGGAGTACTTTCTCTACAACTATTTAGACGCTTCTGTTTTAAAGTGTAATTTTTTTTCTGTATGTGTGTGAAGCTGCAGCTGCAATAAATATGAAAACCTGTAAATCCAGTCATTTGGATTCAGGAGTAGAATCGGACATCCAGTGCAGAAGTGGAGCAAGCTGCGTTGTGAAGTGCAGCACAGAAAGAATGGAGAGTGCTGCCAAGAGAAGATTGGCTGCCAATGCCAGGGAGAGAAGACGGATGCAAGGGCTGAACACAGCCTTTGATCGTTTGAGGAAGGTGGTCCCACAGTGGGGTCAGGATAAGAAGCTCTCCAAATATGAAACCCTTCAGATGGCTTTGAGTTACATCATGGCTCTAACACGAATACTTGCTGAAGCTGAGAGATATAGTACTGAAAGGGAATGGATTAACCTTCACTGTGAACACTTTCGTCCAGAGAGCTACCACCATTATACAGGACAAAAAGTGGCAACAGACAGTGATCCTTATGCACAGCGAATATTCAGCTATCACCCTGAACACTTTCAAATAGCTAATTAGAACTTATTACAAGCTAAAAATATGCAGCAGGCCAGATGTGTAATTTAATAATTAGCAAGAGTTAATCTGCTTGAATAAGGTAATATTGGCATTACAATAGCTTATTCGTGTTTGTGTCTTACACTAATTTGACAAACTAAATTTGCTTTGAGATCTTAAACCAATATGCATTTAAGAAATATGAATTTCTTTACTGTTGATAGAAAGTTGTTTGAAATCTTACAGACTATTGCTTGCTAGTTAATTTGGCTCCTTTAATTAAATAAGTCTTTTTATTTAATTATGATCCACGATAGTATTTCCTACCAGTCAGGGGCCAAATTGACCCTTGCTATAACTGAATGGAGTAAGACTACAAATGAGTTTCATTCTACATTTTTATTTTTATGTCAGCTTTGAAGTAGTTCTTTGTTTTGTTTTCCCTTGAATGACTCCCATGGAACAAGTTTTATACTGGAGTTCTAGTCCTTGGAGAACTAACTGTCTTAAACTTTGTAAGTTTGATATATGGGTTCCAAAATTGTGTAGGTTTGCTTTAATCCAACTTAGGGTGTCTCTTGTATGCTCGAAAAAGAGCTAGCTTCAAGTCATGAAAATGTTTTTATTTTTAGTGGCTGTAAAAGCAGATGTGGTTATATACTGTGAATGAGATGCTCATGTGAAAACAATCTAAACATCTGGATTTTGTAGTTTGCATCTTATTTCTTAATTTTACATTACCTAGAGACAGATTTTGTAAATCATAAATAAAGTGTTTTCTATGATATGTGCTCATATACTACCTTAAATTTCCAACTCTAGAAATTACTTTGTTTCCCTTAGTATTCCACTTCTTCCTCAGCCCTGACAGCTTAGTGTGCAGGAAAAACTGACCAATGACGTTTGTCACTCAGTTACGGGAGGATGTGTATTTAGAGTACCCTCCAAAAAACAGCTTTTAAAGATAAGTTCTGTTGAAATGTATACTTTATTTCAGCCCTGCTGATGTCAATTGTCTTTTATTTATTTTCTGCTTGTGCTTGTGGAAGATAGAAGGATTTGGATAGAAAAGGCAGAAGAGTTAGGAAAAGGAGACTGGGAAGGTGGAAAAAATAAATGAATAAAAATGAGTAGGAGCAGAACAGCAGATGTATCCACAAAGGCCTGACTGCAGATGTCTGTTATGATGGTGGCAGACTGTGAAGATGAAGGATGCTTCTGCTGGTTCTACTGTTGGGAGTTTCCAGAAATGAGCCCTTTGCTAATGTTAGCCATCTGGGAGAAGGAGAAAAGGAGCTGCTGTCCCAAAACAACTGGTGGTGGATTTCCAGCAGGGAAGGCTGGCAGGTTCCCTGCTGCCATATCTTGTCATTTGAAAGAATCCTAAAATAAAAGTGGAAGTTTTGAGAAGAGCTATTTGCAACAACTAAGTAGCTTTCAATGGAAATAAAAATAAAAAAAATACAACCAGCAATAGGAACTAAGCGCTGTTTTGGGACTCTGCTACAGGAGCTGTTATATATGTAGAGAGAGAGACCTGACCTTAGTATCAGTCATCTCCCTGAACCTTCGTTGACGTTTTGCCTTTGATCAGTGTCTTGTGGAATAGTACACTTCCAAAGCCACAAGTTGGATTGAATTTGGAGTAAAAGTTGCTGGGACAGACTTTCAGGTCTGGCTTAAGCAAATATAGAAAACAAATATATTCTGAGCAGATCTCTCCCTTAATCATTGGTATTCAGGAATGTTTTTTAATGTATATTTTGGCTTTTCTAAGTTCAGTAGTGATTAGGGTAATTATTAAAATGTGGGCTTTTTCTTTTGAATTACATTTGCTCTTTATGTAGTTTCAGCCTTCCGCGAATACGAAGTCATGTTATTTGCTGATTTTTGACAGAAGTTTATACAGAGAGAATAGAAGTAGTTGTTTGTTATGCACTTGAGTTAATACTGCTGGAAAATTTGTTATTGTTAAGTGACCAATTTCTCTGCATCACAGAATTGTAGAGGCTTGAAGGGACCTCTGGAGATTGCCAAGCTCTATCCCTTGCTGAAGCAGGTTCCCTTCAGTAGGTTGCATAAGTTGGCAATCCAGGCAGGTTTTGAATATTTCCAGAGGAGGAGACTTCGCAGCCTCTTTGGGCAGCCTGTTCCAGTGCTCTGTTACCCTCACGTTAAAGAAGTTTTTTTTGTTGTATTCATGTATAATCAATGCAATCCTCAAATAAATGTTAGGAATGATGTGCCATCCTAGACTAATTTATTAGCATAAAATTTGGGCAGAAATTGTGTTAACTGCACTGCTTGCACAGCAATGGATTTTTCCATCCTGAAACAGGAACATAAAGCAAATAGTCTGTAGAATTCTGTGACACAGAGATCTTGGCTTAGTGAGAAATAGACTTCTAAACCCTATGTGGGGAGTATACAAATTTATATGGAAGTAAAACACCAGGGCAGTGTACAAGAACTGTACCAATGTGTTTCTGCACTGCTGGCATATAATTTTATTTTTGGGATGTGATGTTGCAGTTTATATGTAGCATACATAGAAGTATATAACCACCATGTTTCATCCGTTTTGTTTTTCCCATTCAGCATTGTAATACACTACTAATAGTAATAATAGTACTGATAGTAGATAATGTGATGACAGAAATAGTCACAAGAACAGTGAATGTTTTTGTGATGTGAATGTTTAAATGATGGTAAGCTCACATAAAGAGGAGCAAACCAAATCTGTGGTTGTGTTACCTGAACTAACAATTGAAAGTGAAGCCTTAAAAAGCACTTCAGTGCAAAGGATAGCTTTTTGAATGCTTTATAGATCAGCCTGTGCCATTGAAGAATACAATCCTCATTTTCTCAAATCTGATTTTGCTAGTGAGAAGTGTTTAATTCTTTTTTAACAAATAATAATTAGTAACTATTTAATTAGTGACTGAAACAGGCTTTTATAGAATGGTGTGGTAATTCAGTAATTTTTTTTTCTTGGGAGAGTGCAGTATTGAGTTGGAAGTTGGCATTTCTAATTTATTACAGCACTGATGGCAGTAGAGTAAGTTCTTCGTAGCTGTCTATGTATTATCTGTCAGAGCTCTTCTGGAGGAGATGGGGGGGAGTTTTCAACATGAAAAGTTCTTTTTGACTGCAATGTGAAGAGCAAGCTGTGGTTTAGATGTCTCAAACTCAATAACCATCCAGCAAGTCATTGGCTTCTCTTGATTGCTTTTCTTCACTAATATTTCAGCGACTCTGTGAAACCATCACTTGACCATTTAACATTGATTTCATCATTGCTCCAGAGTGTTTATTTTCCACTGACTGTTTGATGCTTGTCAGATAATAACTGTGACCCTTCCTCTGTACTAGTCCTTAAGACATGGCCCCACTTCCCCCAATAAATTATTGCTTCCAGTCTGCCTCCAAATGACTTCAGATGTGCAGAGCTTGATGTGTTCTTACGTGTAGAATTTTTTCTGCTTACAGATTTCTGTCCCAGGGAGAAGTGCAAGCCTGAGATATTTCTTTTTGTAATATTAGTACATAATAGTTCTAGTGTTACATTATGAACACACAGAGGATCAGAAATTATTTCTTCATTACATACTTGTTGCTTGCTAAACACATTTTCACTATTGAAATTCGGTGTGCAGTTCAAATGAACTATCTGTGGGAAATTAACCTCTATTCTTCTAGAAGGTTCAAACTGCATCCTGCTCTTTACTCTTTGAACTAGCACAGGTGGTCTTATCCTTATGATTCTTTGAATCTTTTCACTTTTTTTTTTTTTCTTTCAAGGTGGCCAGAGTTATTTTTCAATTTGAACTGGAGAGATGTTTTCAAATGCAGTGACTTTTCTTGGTCTGGAAATGGAAGTAGGGTAGTGTGTTCCATAAAAGTATGTTAGCAACAAAAAGGCAGTGATTTCTTCCTGCCTCGCTATTGCGGCTACCAGTGGCTGTGTCTTATCCAGCTTTCTTGGTTTCTCTTTTCTATTGCACCATTTTTAAGCACAGACCATTCAGTACCATACACACATAAAGAACAAAGCTCAGTTCTTGACTGAAATACTTAAATGGTGCTGCAGTACATGCATTATGAAAAATAAAGATGTTGCTAGGTCTAGTTATAGCCTTGTAAGGTCAGTGACATTGCAACTGTTTTGCATGGGGAAGCATGGATATCATTAGGCTTTGTTTGTTTCTTGTTTTGTTTTGTTTTGTTTTGTTTTTTTAATTTTTAGCTGTGTTTTCTTTACCCTGTTAAGTAGAACTTCTGTAGTGAAAGTTACTGTTGTGATCTGATTCGCTAGGCAGAAATTAAAAAGAACATGATTTCCTGCCGTATTCTTAATGTTCCAAAATAAGCTTCTGCCTTAAGATGATGAGTATCATTGCCTATATTGGCAATACAGATTTTGGCTGGCAATATAGATGCAATTCTCAGTTTTAATTTAGGAATGGCTTTATCTAGACTTTATAAACTCATCAAGAATTTTAGAAGTTTCTTTTTGCTAAGTTGTTGCATCTCTGTAAAATACCCAGGAAATAAAGCAAATGCACTGAGAACAAAAACACATTTATTCACTGAAGAAACAGTCCAATGCTTCCTCTACATAGATATTAAAGACATTTGATTTCATTTAAAAAAGAAAGCTTAATGTTTTTAAATTTAATTGTCAAGAAAACATAGTTTTTAAAAAAAACCCAAAGCAAAACCCATATGTATAATATTCAAATATTTTCTAAATAATACATTTTAGTATTTTGTATACTATAGGTTTTTTCCAATTTGTTGTTCAGTTTTCATTTGTACAGAAATTAACATGCAAAGTAAATCTGAACTTACACAGAATTTGCTTAAGATGTCTGCATATGTAACTCCAAATAATAAAAAGAGAAGTCCGTGTTAGATTGGCTTCCTGCAGTCTGAAATCCACAGTCAGTTTTTCAAAATTTCAAAATGTCTTTGATATTCTCCATTTCTTTATTTAGAAAAGAAAAAAAAAGTAGTCACTTATTGTTAGAAGACGGTATAATCTTAGTGAATGGTCTGTTTCTGAACAAAATTTCACATCAAAATAAATGGAGACCTCCACTCAAATCTGTAGCATGTATGGCCCAAGGATTATTTGTACGATGTTAGTTCTTCATAACTATAATGGAGTTGAAGTATGAAGGCATTATTAAAAGCAGCTTTTACTGCTCAGAAGAAGTGATATTACATGTGGGAGCTGCTGTAGCTCATGGGGCTGTAACAGGGCTAAAATGTTCTTATGAACATTGCCTCTGATCTAGCAGTTACAGATGTACACAAGAATCAGTCCGTGCAGAAATGGAGAAACATGGTTAAATGGGACAGTAAAATCAAGATCAGCAAATGTAATAGAATGAACCTTTTTTTTTTTTTTTTTTCCTGTTGTCTTCTATATCAAGGCTATAAAATCCATCTTCTTTGTAGCATTAGTTTTGCTTCTGCAGCTTCATTCAATTTTCACTTATTGAAGAACTGGATACAGAGCTAAAGGCTGAAATAATAAGTCTTCTGTAACACTCTCCAGTGCCCTACTTACACACAGAGGAGCTTTGGTCCTAGATCCAATAACTGGGCATTTCTGTGGGTGTTGTGTGGGTGCTGGCTGAACGTGAAGCAACATGGTACAACAATTTATGAGACACAATGGAGTTCATCTCTGCCAGTCTGTAAAATAGAAGGATATGCCCAAATACGGGTGTTGGGGATGAATTGTACAAGATGCTGATAATCTGACAACCCTACAGATGTTTTGAACATTCAGATTGTCCTAAACCTGCTCTGGTTCCACTGAGAAAACTTGCTCTTTTAAAATTTGATTGAGAATTTATTGGATGAAGAAAGTGTAACTTAAAACAAGAGCAAACTGTTTAGAAAAAAGAGCAACTGTATGTCACAGCTATGTGCTAGCATCATATCTACCATATCCCTGACTTGACAGTACTTTATGATTTTCTTCCAAATAATGTAAGCCTAAATGCATTAATTTCATTACCTGTCACAGCTGAGTTCTGTAGAAACCTCTGGTTTTGCTCCACACTTGCAATTGCTTGAACACATCAAGGACACACTCTTGTATGCAACTCTGAAGCATTTATTTAAGGTGAAATGAAAAGAGATACATTCCTGAACATTTGGGCATTTGTTTCTTCCTTTTGTATGCACTTAATGTACTTTAAAACTGATGTTAGCACTATTTTTCCATAGAGAATGACTTTGGATCAAAAAATAAAAATTATCAACTTTAATCAAGAAAAAAATATAAAGTAGAATTTTGAGGCTCAAAGTAAACATATTTGTATTAGAAATAGTAAGGCAACTAACAGTGAATCACTCATTCAATATTTAACAATTAAAAAATTAATTAGGTCTTACAAATAATTTTGTATGAAGACATTGTCTTGAAATGAATGTATTTTTTTAACCTTGTAGCAGTAAGAGCACAGTTCTTTTAATAACTCCGATTTCAGATTTGTTTCTTTGCAATATCTGTTACTGTCAACAGTTGCAATTGGCAACTGCTTAGACATTATGAAAGAGGCTGCAGGCGTGATTTTTATAATTTAGATTGTGTGCTCTCCTCTTCACACCAGTGTACGGGAATCATTCAGTAGGTATGTTCCATTGGCTGCATGCAAACAAATTATCTCAGTCTAGCTGTTTTAAGGCGAGAAGTCTATTGGTATTAATGCAGACTGTTACATGAAGCTGCTGAGGACTGTGTCTGCACCAAGGTGGGCCAAAAATGTTAAAGCAAAGATAATACTTCTGCTTTTTAGAATTACAGAAAAGAAGTTATTTCTGCCATTCTTTGAAATGTATTGTGCATCTGGTCACATACAAAAACAGGACTGGAAGGGAATAAGAAAGTAAGTAAACCTACAAGCATCTGAATCAGAAAAATGATCTGCTACTGAGAATTTACAAAAATGAATATTTCTGTATCTCATTGATACAATGTTATGTTTCACACTGTTGTGATTTAATGGACTTTTGGAAGATAATAGCTAACACTGATTCCAGTAAATGCTCTAACATTGATTTTTATTGTTGCAGGAGCCTGTCCTAAATAAGAGAATGAAATATCATGTTAGTGTGAAATCAAATCAGCTATTCAATTGAACAAAAACAATGACAAGTCAAGCTGTTCAGGAAGAGAGCACAACTGCATAGCGTGTAGTGCCTCTTGACACAGTATGATACCCTCATGGCACATGAACTCTAACAACATCAAGTTTTGTGACAACTCAGTGTTGTCTCTACTGCTTACACAAGCAATTTTTCCCGTTGGCTTTTCCATCAGTCAACAATATAAGCATCACTTTTGCATCTTCTTAATGATGAGCACATTAGTACTGCTAATTAACAGCATTTACATCCATTCACTAAGCTCTGTTTACACACTCATTCTCTAGGCTCAGAATATGCAAAGGACAAATGTTCTGTAGCAATTAAAAAGCAAAAGTTAATGACTACAGACTATTTACTTGGGATCAGATTCTGATTTTGTTTATGTCAGATACACTGAAAGTAATTTCTCTGACTTACACATTATGTAGGGAAGTGTGATGGATAAAAATTCGATCCTTCTGCAAATAAATACTGTCAAAGAGAGAATATTTATAGTTCAGGTGACAGATTTTGGTGATGCGCTCTGTAGCCTAGTTTAACGTGAATCTGCAGGGTCCTCTTATTTAATGACTTAGAATTAATCCTTCTTATACAGATTTCTGGGAAAAGCAGTAGCTTTTGTCTGCCTCAACAACAAGAACAAAAAGTACGTTTTAAAAAAATGTAGCACTTATCCTTCAGCTTGTCTGCTCAAATTATATAATTATGTAAGTCAAGAGAGATTTTATCTGTGCTCTCTGTCTTTTGATTTGTGCCAACTTTTTGGACATGATGTCTGCAATGTGAGAATCACTACTAATGTCAGTAATATTCAGAGGTATGATTCTAGAACTAGTAACCAAGTATTTGCAAATAATAGGTACTGTTATTTTAAACTATGTAAAAAATATCAGATAGCATGCTTACCCTTCTTGCTAGAATTGCGTAGTGGGATATATCACAGCCCAAAGGAGAAGCTTGTGCCTGCTTGATTTCTTAGTTTCTACTCAGTCAATAGGAAACTTTATCCATATAGGACATTCAGACAGGCAGAGGAAAGTAAAATAATGTAGGACATTATAGGATGACTCAGGTTGGAAGGAACCTCAGGAAGTCATCCAACCCCTTAAAGCTAGGTAAGGGGCCCACTGTTGTATTCTAAAGAGGAAAAGAGCTTGACTAACAAAGTCTGAGGAATGATAGCCAATTTTGAATACTTTGGGTCAAAATCCAGTTTTCAGTTCTGACATGAAGTAATGAAAAGACTGGAATTAGATCTTTCATGTCTTAATTTCCTCTCATCCTTCCCAACAGCACTGAATTAAATAAAATCCAAAACTTTCTTTGGATTATTTTCTCAAGAGTATTTACAAACATGGGAATTTTTTAATTATTATTTTACTATTTTTTTTTAAACCAACTTTGACTTACTGAGCCATCCTGAAAACAAGTGAAGATTAGAGGAATAAGGGTTTCTCTATTCCAGAGGCCCACAGTTTGTCTTACACTGAGCATCTCGTAACTGAAATCCACTTGAGTTAACATACTGCTTTTCATACCAATTAGTTGTATCTTACCTGCTGGAAAGGAGATACAACATCAGCAACAACTGGCATTTCTGCTTTCTCACTGAAGTAACTGTTTCTGGTATTGTCTATCAGGATAAGAATATGTTTTAGCTTCCTGATCTGCTCAGTCTGGGGTGAATCATACCTGAGATTTCTAACAAAAGCAGGGAAGTTATAATGGTGAGTTTATATTATGGTGGTTTTGTGATGTGCGTTATGGTACTCACATAGGAAATGGAATAGTACAATATATTCACTTCCCATGAATCTTTAGGGAACCAAGAGTCAGTGATATCATTAAGTTGCTTTTGTAGGAAATCAGGAATGAAAGGCTTTCGCTTTCTCAAGTCTCTGTCCATATCCAGTATCCTTCTGCTCTTAAGATAATTCATCATTGTTTTCTTTGCATTTGTAAGTTAAGTTACACTTTTAACTTTGCAAGAAGTCCAAATAGGATCTAACCCGATAGTATCTGTTAATTTTTCTTTTCATTTTTCATCTTTTAATTTTACTTGTCCAAAGAAGAGGGATAACAGTAACTTAAAGAGGAAAGAAATAATCTTAGATAGTCACAGATTCTAAATGCTGTACAACTGTGCAGATGCTAAATGTATTTAAATCAATTAAGTGTTCTTAACACCTTCTGTTGCATCTTCATTAGATTCTTATATACTCCTATTATTTATAGTAGAATTTAAGTCCATAGATTTTTGTCTATTAATGAAATTTTCTGTCTTAATAGTAGACGCCATACTTGTCATTGTTTCCTAAATATTGATGAAATTGCTGATTTCCAGCAGATCATAATTCCTTTTCAGTTAGAGGAAAAAATGAGGTATATGGTAGATACTTTTCTTTCAGTCACATTAAAAATGGGAAGAAAGAGACTGATATTTGAAAACTCTGAAGTTACAAGCTTGGTATGAGTTTATGTTCAAAAGCAGAGAATTGCTACCAGTGTAAGGAAAAAATAAAATAAAATACAAAGCACATCTGGAAAATAGTTTCAGCTACGAGTTCTACAGAACACGCTTCAGACTACAGGAAGATTAGTGTCCTATGTTAGAGCCCTGGGCACATGTCCTATACCTTACTTTATGATCATTATGCCATGAGTACACGGTTCATGGAGTATACACACGCACACAAATATAAATATATAAGGTATACAGCTGTACCTACATGGAATTCTATACTTATCTAGACTTGAGTTCAGCAATTATAAGATTATCTGGCTTAATCATATATAAAAATGAGTTACATCTTTTTCCTTGTACTTGTGCTTTGTGATTATCTGGCTTTTTTTTTTTTAGTTTTAGAATTACATTCAAAGTCATGTTGTTTACCCTCATTCAGGATTATTGTTATTGTAATATCAGTGTTTTCACTGGGCAGTATTCCAGCAAAACATCATCAATCCTTAATGTAGCTTGCTACAGGAGGGTAGCTTTAATTCTAGCAGTAGAAGTGGTATTGGCTTTTAAGTGCTGAAAACTATGTTTACTATGTAATTCTTAGCAAACTACACAGTACTGACTTTATTGCACAACACTCCATACCACAATTATCCTGCAGAAAAATACTATGCAGAAGTCTTGTATATGTTACTTGCAAAATCTGCAGCAGCAGTACACTTAATTACAAAAAGGTTGCTTGTAAACCTTGAGCATCTTGACTTGTACCTCTTTATTTTTTTCAGTTCTAGTATTTTTGCAAGTGTAACTGGAACCACTGTTCATTTGTCCGTTTCAAAGTTCATCGCTTTCCACCATCTTTTGAGTTGGGGATGAAAACAACACAGGGCTTTCAGTAGCTGGGAAGCCAGAATACATGTCGAGTCCTTGGCCAGTAAGGTTTGCATACCGGCTACTCCCAGGTCGAAGCTTTATTTGTTGTGGAATTTGATGATGCCACTGAGCTGAAGCAACAAAAACAGAACAGGCTGCATAAACCTCTGAATAAATTAGCAATGAAACAACAGGAGTCAATGTGCACAACTGCTAAATCTAAGTTCCCTCCAACATCTTCGAAGGGAGCACAGCAGTTTGTTCCCTGTCTTAGAGTCTGTTCCTTCAAATATTGCCATCTGTATAGTTTATATTGAGTACTTTTATTAAAATATTAATAGACAAATTTCCACCCCTTTTCAATTCAATAGAAACGTTTACATGAATTTCAGTATGTCCACAAATGAACCATTTAATCTGTAAGCTTTGTCCAAGCTCTTGCAAGCAAAAGAAAAGACACATTACAGCATGAGCAGAGATAAACAAACGGGAAGTAACTATCATTCTGTACTATTCCATCCCTTGGAGGACTTTTCTTTCTGGCTTTTCTTCTGGTGGTATTTATTTTTGAAATCAATACTCTCACTGCTGTACTTCATTCTTTACAAACAGAACTGTAAATACTAGAGCAAACCTTCACTTGAAATAGCATGAAGAAAAGTACTTTCTGTCATTCTGGCATACAAGACATGTAGACTCTTTAGAAAATACAGCTGGAATCAGGACACATTTCTGACTTCCCCCCGCCCCTTTTTTTTCTTTTTTTTGGCTTTTAGTGTTCATCCTTCATATAAAACCTTAACTTCTGTCTCCCCACATTTAGATGCCTGGAGAATTACTTTTCATTTTGTGTGTTTGTTTTTGAATCAATTTCTGCTCAGCTCTCTCTTGATTATGGAATTACTGTTGTTCGTGTCACCACAAGATGGCAGAAAACGTACAGAGATGCACTGATGACCTACGGTTATCCCTGATAAGTTTTATTATTCCTTTTCTTTTTTTTTTTTAATAAAAAAGCAAGATTGAAAACTATTTTTGAGGGCATGGATATAACCCTGTCTTCTTTTTATTTTTATTGCTTAAGTAATCAAAGTTTTCTTTTGTTGATGTATACAAATTACCTTAGCTAGTGTATGCATCTGCATAGATACAGAGAAGTTAAATATTGTGCCATAGTTCTTGAACTAGGCTTAAGCGTTCTGAGTCTTCAATCAGCACATTATCATCTTAGCTAGCTTGCATTACTTAGGCTCCCTGAAAGAAGGGGCTTTTAAATGTGCAATTTGTTATTCTTTCTCAGCTCAGTGCAGAAGCACTATTTGCCTCTAAAGGAACAGAAGTAAGGTTTAATCTGAATACACGTTTATTGTACTTCTATGTGTCTGTGGAAGGTGGAAAGTAGAAGTAAAAAATATTGTACAACGTTTCTCCTGTCCTACATCAGTTTAATGGCAAGTAATCTCATAATTTAACTGCACTGTTCTATCTCCTCCTGGTGGCGATGTTAAAATGGAGCCATGCAGTGATAGCGTAATGTCTAATCCATGGCAAAACTGGGAACATAAGAGCAAAGAATTAGTTGAGAGCTAGGACTGTCACTGAAAATAAATTCTGATTTATTTACTAGCCAGTACTTACCATATATGTCAAGTCTAGCAGTACAAGAGACAATACCAGCTTCGTTTTTTGCAGACAAGGTATACCAGCCAGCATCTGCTTTCCTGGCAGGCTGAATCAGAAGGCAGACATACCCTGTTGTATCTTGGTGCATGCTGGGAAAACAAGTTTTTTAGGCTTAGAATTTGTCAGGAGCATGTCATCTCTGAGATTTTGCAATATGTATATCCGCTATGAAATAAAAAAATCACAACTTCTGTTCCTAAAGAACAGACTGTGACCTTTACACTCAATAGACTTCCAGGATAGCCCCAGACAATAATCTGAGCAGCTGAAATCTATTCTTGCTCCTTTCAGCTGTGAAAAGCCATGGTGTTTTTATTCTGTATGTGCTAATATTGGAATTGCTTATTGAATTCCAGTGAAATAAGCCCCAGCAAAGGGGCTTATTCTTATTATGACTGCTGGTGAGTCATACTGTATCTTTTTTTCAAGCACAGAATCTAGAAGAATAACATTTGTACAAATTGTGGTATTTTCACAACAGTAATCAGAGCTAGTCAAGTTTCCTCATGGCACCCTTTTCCATTCCAAGAGAAATGCCTGAAAGGCAAAATCTTGAAGATTAATTTGGACAACATTCAGAGTGAAATTTGTTTCATTATTGCCTCTTTTTCATTTGACTTTTTGGCCACAGTTCTCAGGAAAAAATAACATTTGATAGTGTATCAGAGAAGGTTCCTCTGTTCTCCAGGCTGTGGTTGGTTGTTTTATCAGTTCAAATGTTTCCCTCGATATAAGGGAAGAAGTGGGAGATAAGCACATCAGCATGTTTGAAATTGGAGGATGTTTTGAAATTTGACATTATGCTTTCATGTAAACTGGAATGAAATGCCAAAATACAAAATTTCAGGTAAAGAGGACAATTTGTGCGTTAGGCAGCTCCTAATAATAGGAACATTCAGCCTCTGCTATCAGCACTACATAATTTGCTTTATGCTAAGACAGAGTAGTACAGAAAGTCATGAGTGTCTATATCTTAATACAAAAGAAAGTCTTTTGGATCCATAGAATCATTAAGGTTGGAAAAGTCCTCTAAGATCATCTCGTCTGTCAACCCATCACCACTATTCCCACTAACCCATGTCCCTAAGCATGACATCGACATGCTTTTTGAACCTCCAGGGATAGTGACTAGCACTTCCCTGAGCAGCCTATTCCAATACTTGACCACTCTTGTGGAAAGAATTTTTTCCTAATATCCAACCTGAACCTTCCCTGGCAAAACTTGAGGCCATTACCTCTCATCCCGTTGCTGTTACCTGAGTGAAGAAACCAACTCCCTTGTCACAACCTCCTTTCAGGGCGTTGTAGAGAGCAATAAGGTCTGACCTGAACCTCTTTCCTCTCCAGACTAAACAATCCCAGTTCCTTCAGCCTCTCCCCGTAAGGCATATGCTCCACACCCTTCATACCTTCGTTGCCCTTCTCTGGATACACTCCAGCACCTCAACGTCTTTCTTGTAGTGAGGAGCCCAAAACTCACTGGAAGATTGGATCAAGTAAACTTTCCTGTCACAACAAATGCTGCTGCTGAGTCAGCTTTCTTTGCAGAGAGACTGCAAGCTACACATGTGAGAATGTAGTGCTTTTTGTAGTTGATAGCAAATGGCCAATGTCTGCATAAGATCAGTAGTTGGAGCCAACTAAAATCATATTTATGCCGAAGTATCAACCATTTTAAGCAAACAAACAATTTTTTTAATCACAGCTGCAAACACTAATAAGTTTTTTGAAAAATAAAAAATATCAATGTATTTGAATGGAAGAGCTGAACCTGATCACTGTTGCATCTTTTAAGAGAGGATCAAAGCCATTGCCTGTGTTTGTGGCCAAGCTTTGTTATCGACTTCCATATCTGATGTGCTAAGCTCTCAGTTATTCCATGCTGTGTAGCATTCATACCATAATCTAATTGTTGAGTTTGAATTCATTTATATTTAGAGCTTAACTGGGGAAAAAATAGTTTAGAGAGCAAAGAAGCTGCTAAAGCCCATGAAAAAATACTGTAATAAATTCAATAACAAGATATTTATCACGCCTGTGGCCCAAAAGGCTTATTGCTACCCTCTGAGGCACTGGCACATTATGCTCCATGCCTTTTTCTGTACCAAGGACACAGCTCTTCATGTCACACAGTGAAGCCAGCATTTTAAAACGTTATGTGGGAGAAATAGTTTTAAGAAGAGCAACACCTGTTTCAGTAAAAAGCTGTGTGATAAAAACAGTTGGTCTGGCTACAAGAAACTTCAATTATGGATATGCTGTTACAGTACCTCATTCTCTCTCTGTTTGATGGGATGGTTTCATTATCCTTCTTCCAGTAAAACACAGGAGGTGGCATTCCCACAACCCTGCACTCTAATCTGACTGGGTACCCTTCAGGAACACCACAGTTCTGAAGCTTCTCCAAAAACATGGGAGCTTTTTTTACTTCCTTCGCTGGAAAAAGAAAAAGAACTAGTGAACAATAGATACTGTATTCTGATTTTGATTGTCATTGAACAGTGTAGAAGAATGAAATAAAAAACTGTGGTAGTGAAATAGGCTGCAATTTTTTTAATGCGATAGTGGAAGGAAAGTGAAAAGCCATGACTGTAGGCTCTGTAAGAGAACATAAAACAAGTAACATGCAGAGCTGTTGTTCATTAAAGAATGTATGCATGTATGTAGGCATTGGGTCTAAACCTACTACCATAGCAGGAAATTAATGCCCAATCTATTGATTTCAATAGCTTACACCTTACAAGGCTTTATTATAGAAAAACACTCAAATTTGAATTTCTATTATTCAAATATACTGTTAAAATCAATGAAACTGGGAAAGGCATCTAGAAGACTATACATATTTTATGAGTTCAGATTCTTGGCATTTTCTGTGAAGAAAATTAAGAATGTTATTTTTCCAAGGCAAGAGAAGTAAAGTAATGAAGATTCAGAATTCTTACAGCCCTCTGCTAGTAATAGGAACGTACCTACCAGGTCCATTTGCCTCCTGCAGCTGTGACACTGCTGTTTAACAGCTCCACTATAAGTGAATTAGCTATTTTTTTATACTTTTCGGTAGATAGATTAGGCAGGGGATTTCTGAAAATAACAGCAGTATTGTGAGTAGTTTTCCAATGATTCTTACCTACAACAGTCAGCTCCAGACTAAATGAATTTTGTCCTGTTTTATTAGTGGCAAGGCAAGTATAAGTTCCAGCATCATTTTGTGAGAGAGGATCAATAAGCAAAGAGTGAACTCCAGTCTCTCTGACCAGCATCTTGTGGGTACCGTCTGGTAACACAGGTTTGCCATTCAGAAGCCACGTCAGGTCTGGCGTTGGTAATCCACTCACCTAACAGGCAAATGAAATAGATAGAGGCAAATGTCAAACTGGCATATTTTATTAAGTTAATGGGTGAGCTTGAATTCAGATGCAATCTGAATAATGTGTCAGCTTCTGTTTTTTGCTGATTAGTTCCAAAAAGGATAAAAGCGAAAAACAAATCTCAGGAGAAACATACATTGAAATGCTCATATTTTTCTTAGTCAGAAAGGACAAAACTTGATTATATAATCAGATTCCATCCTAAGCATATGCTACTTTTTTGGTTGTAATTTGGTTGTAAATGATTATAAATCAAACCCACTCAATTAACAGACATTATAAAGTATTTTATACAAATGTCTTTGTATTTCATAATTTTTGGTGAAAAATATAGGTTATTTGTAGGTGTTAAGCTGCATGCTTTGTAACAAGATGAAGCATTTTAGAAAGTAGACTGTATTATACTTTTCAAGATCTTTCTAACAGATAAAAGTACTTGCTCATGTCCAAAATATTTATTTGCATACAATACTCTACGAACTAGGGAAAGAAGGAAGTGGAATTTGCCTGCGAGGACTGCTTTCTTCCAGGTCTGTGCAATACCAGACATGCTTTAAGGCTTCACAAGCTCTGCCTGGATAGCAGAGCTAAGAATAGCTAAATTCTTTGGCACGTTCCCTGGCAAACTTCACATTATAAATTAAGTAGTAATTGACCTTATTCATCTTCAGGTAAGTATTAACATCTGTTCTATAGCTTCTACTCTCTTCAGAGTAGGAGACATTTTGGAGCTTCAAAGAGGTCAGGGTCAGCACTACCACCACCTTCTTGTTTGTGCTACTGGGATATAGAGGAACTACCAATCTGTGTTGGAGCAGACAAATTTCTTTATACTGCTTAATAAGTGGATGCTCATTATGCATACTGTAACCTGTTATGTGGGGATTTGAATATGTAAATTGGGATGTTTCAAGCTAGGGAAGCATAAAATGAACTGGGCTTTGTTCCCTCTTTTTCAGGAGTATTAATCTTCAGTCTAATACAATGGGAACACTATTTTGAACAGAACACAATGTGCTGAACACTCTTTTCTTGTGAATTTATGTTATTATGGATTAAGTTCAAGAATCTGGAAATACAGACAAAGGACAGAGTGAACAAATCTAGCAGTCTGAACAACCCCCTAACTGAACCTTTGTTTTTTGGGGATTGTATTCTTTGCATTCTTCATACCATATAGCATGTACTGAAAAGAAATCCCCTGAATCAGTTCAGAGAGAATGGCAATAAGACATAATTTTAAACTTGGAAGTATTAAAACTTTAACATAAAGTGATCATGCTAGCAATAAAAATACTTAACAATACACATATAGAAGCAGGGATAAAAAAAATAAAGAAGAACAGAGAGTAGAGTTAATACCTTACAATCCAGCCTGCAAAGTCGCCCTTCATGTGCTACCATGTCACCTGGAGCCTGTAGAAAGTAGGGCCTGAAAAAGCGTTCTTGAACTGCTTCTTTGTCTCCTCCTTCTGGCACCCGGGAGCGTGCTCTACAACACAAAAACTGTGTGTGTACATTTGGAAGCCAAATCCTTTTTTAATGTTGAATAAAGAAGAAAATTGTGGAAGAGTATGAAGATAGTTTGAGCTAAATTAAAGGGCAGACAGAAATGTATAGATGGTAATTTAAAATTACATTATGATTAAATATTGGATATTTTCTATTTAGAGAGATTATCAAATGAACTATATCATATAGTATCATTGGGTTTCCAAGCTGCTCTTTGTTTCTTTTTGCCTTTTTTGGCTGAATTTCGTCTTTCTAATCCAACCCTTTCCTCTAACTCCAGTGCAACAAGTGAAATAATAGCTTACCCCACCATTTGAAGATGACCTTCAAAAACGTTACATTCTAGAACTGAGATACTGGGAGGGAAATGCTGCCATTATTTTCACACTTGGGTTGAGAAATGAAATAGAACGTGTTGAAATATAGCTGCCACTTATTTTGAATGCCTTTACCTGTGAGGCTGAAGTGTTGATAGTCGGCCCCGAACAGGGATACTCTGAACCATCAAGTGGCCTGAACAACTTACTCTTCCCTGCAAATCACATTGGAAAAAGAATTAATAGTTGGTTAATAGTTCATTCAATTGTAAAGCACAAATATTTAATATTTACAGTGCATTAGAATTTATTTTCATTATGTGCAAAATAAGTATAATTGTTTTTCAGAAGCAAGTTCTATCAATGTGCGTTGGACTGCAGATAAGGCAGGGGTCCCTTTGTCTGCTTAGAGTGATGTGTTCCTCCAACTCTTCAAGGCTGCAACAATACATTTAGCAACAACTCTATGTAAATCAGCTGTAGTGGAAATGCTAAGTCACGGCTTGAGCCAGTGATTGAGCACCTGGTGGGAAGGCAGGGCCAACCCAGGGGAGCTGAGGTGCATGCAGTCCACCTGAGTAACCCGAGAACAGATGGAGCTAGGATCCACTGCTTCCCAGACTTCATTTAAGGGTTTGCAGTGGAGGTGGGAGGGGGTCTTGATAGAGATCCCTGTGTACCTGAGGCTTTCTAATGGTAAGGAGCTTGTTTCCTTTATTTCTGTGCCCGAAGCTGCTGCATTTGAGCATATCCTTACTGCAGCCTAGAACTTTGCTACGGTGCTATCATTGCTGTGCTTTCTATCACATTACAGCATTACACCAGCTTAAGTAGCATCTGTCCCTACTCGTTTGTTCCTGCTGCTGTATTTCCACAGGTACTGTCTGATACTGACTTTGTACTATTGTAATTTTTTTTGTCTGTGCAGCCATGTGGAAACTGAGGAATAGTTGGGTGGAAGTATAATTCAGAATTCAGGGGAAAACTTCAACTGGAAGAAGCTGCCTGATGTAGTTGTCTGTACTACTAAATAGCAAGCTGAACTAGCACAGAGTGAAGGGGAGTAGTTTGGAGCAGAAGACTATTTGCAGTTCCATATTTTTGCAGCCTAGATAAAGAATAGTTGTTTAGTAAGGATTTCAGACTTGATTTTATTTGTTTTTCCTTGCTCTACTCTTTCTGCCTGAAACATTATGACTGCCTTGTCACCATATCTCAAAAGGTATCTGAATGCAATGGCAGGGTGAGGATGTCAGAAGTAGGACAGGAGTTACTATGTGAAGGAATGCCCTTAGTGATTGAAGAATCTGAAAAATCTGAATTTTGATATGGTCACCACTCAGACTAGATGGCCTGATCTATGCTCCTAACATATACACAAAGCAAGTGTTTTTAAAGGAGGAAAATAAAATGCCTTACTTGTGGGTTTGCAGCCATAATAGTATAGTTGCCATCGTCATCATTAGTAGAGGCTTCAATATGTAAAGAACATGTTCCATCTTCTTCTCTGCTCATTTTGAAATGCGTGTTTTTCTTTGAAATCTGCTTGCCATCCTTGAACCAGTATATCTGATGAGGGGAAAAAACAGTGGCTTATGCTTGCTCTGAAGTGAAATAGTGACCGTAGCAACAGATTAAAAACATGACAGGATCTTGCCAGTTGCTTGTACAAATTTTAGAATCTTTAAAAAAACTTACAGATGGGTCACAATGTGAAATAAAATGATTCCAGGCTGAACTGAGAAAGTTGTATGGCTCCTTCATACAGCTGGGATTGCCAGGCTCTTTTGGTTACCTCAGATCAGCTCTCATCTTTTCGACAAGTTTTTTTTGTTTTTATGACATTTTCTTGAAGTAATGTGGTTGTGATGCAGTCCATACAGTGCATCCAGGCTCAGGAGCAGGTATTGCTACTTTAGCGGGTTGGGGGAAATAACTTGCGTTAGAGCTCTCTTCACAGAAATATGTTCTTCCCAATGCAACTTTCCAGAGACGTGCAGGAAATATCAGGTGGTTGATTTTTTTTTTTTTTATTCCTTTACTGCTAATGTTGAGAATGACTTACCTTGGGAACAGGTATCCCAACAATTTTGCAAGTGAATGTGACAGGAGATCCTTCCGTGACCCGGAAATGCTTGAGTCTCTTGTCAAAGATGGGTGCTATGTATTTGCCTGTAGGGATTTCCTCATGCTGAATTTCATCATCTGATTCATCCACAGGGGTACGTTCAAGGCGAAATTCTATTTCATTCATCAGCCTCTGCTCAAAACTTGAAATCCTGTATTCCTGCAGAGTGAGAGGCATAGCATCTGAACAAGATGAGTCATGTTATGTGGTATTTTCAGTCATTTGCACTTTTGGATTAACGATAAGTGGGTGAAAATAAAAAAGCCTATAAAACTAAGACTTCTGAAAAAGTCTGAATTTATTCTGCAGATGTGGATTCTCACTGCATTTGGAGTCTGCGAAATTCAAATAATGAAACTAAGTATATTCTAAGGCAGTAAAAAAAAAAAATCATTTCTCAAAATTCCCAAGAAAAGTCTAAATAGTTTTACACCATTGATCAAAAAAAGAACTTTGAAACATAATTTTTAAGCAACTCAAAAATTAGTCACCTGCTAGTTATTTAAATGAATACTGCTACATATTTCAATTGAGAGCTAAATAAGGCATAGCATACCTACTAAAAGAGAAAGCTGGCAAAAAAGTCAAATGTTTTAGGAGTAATTTACCTTCAAGATAAAACCTGACAAGTGCCTAACTGCTGTAGCAGAGAAAGCAAAACGTAAGCCCATAAACCCTTAGAGCACTGCATAGATAGGACACTAGTATATCTCTGTATCAATGACCTCTTCCAGATAGTTTTTTATTATGAGCATCTTCCATAATCCCTTGATGTCATCTAGACACTCTCATTCTTAGCAGCACTGTTCTGCACTAGAAGGTCTCATGTCAAGACCAAGAAACATTTGATTAAATGTGTTGCTATGACATTAATCTTCACATTAACTACCAGGTTCAGTTTGTAATACCATACCTGTATTTATCCTGGGCATTGTGAAGCACTGCAGATAGACCTGAATGGACTTGTGTGGGAGCGGATGTTTCTTAGCTACATTAACACAGACAGCTGTGAGAATATCTTACTTAAGTCATTTAAAAAAAATAAAAAATAAAATCTGTGTGAACGTGTAAGACATTCACGACAGAGTGGAAGTCAACCACTAGGTGGTACCATCCACTTTCTTGGTACGCTTTGTTTGCTCTCTGGGCAGATCAGCTGCCGCTGGTCAGCAAACGATTTGAAACAATTAAGTTTCAAATGTTGATCTTTTTTTGTTTGTTTCACACAGCATGGCTCAAAAAATCACTTTAATAGATCAAATTTTGCTATCAGTCAAGATAGTAAAAATCTGATTTCTGTTCAACCAATACGATCATTTTTCCCTTTAGATAGCAAGAGCCAGTTATAGTGTTCTAAGGGGAAAGTTAAGCAATCAGTCTTTTAGCCTTGATACTAAGAAAAGGTCTGCATGTTTTCAGGAAGGAAGAATCAAGTAAGAATCTGGGAGTGACTCCTACGTTTTAAGAAACATCTTGGTCACCAGAAGGTACTGCAGTCATATTTTGATTCTAGTCTCCCATAAACTAAGTAATTCAGATGTAAATTTTGTGGCAGCCAATGTACTGGAAAACATATTTGGAGACTTTTTCCCTTCCACTCCCTTGAGAACTTTTAAATATATTCCTTCACATTGCTCATGCACTCTTTAGCAGCAGAGAGCAAAGTCTGTGGAAAAAAAATTTCTTCTGAGAGAGGATATTTTTTTTCCCTGGGTCAGCCAATAGGACCTATTGATTCTATACATAATTCTAAGAACAAAATTATTTTCAGTGCTTTCACATGCTGCGTGGCCTTTGGAAATGTGTATGCTAATTAAGGACTAATTAAGCTAGATGTAATCCCTTTCTCTCTTTCCCTTCAACCAATGATCAGTCACATGATAAAATACAGCAGGTATGGTAGCCTACCTGTTTAAATGTGTTAGTTCTTTTTATGTAAAGAACCTTTAACAATTGTGTAACTATTTCTGGATATTGCTGATATGATAGCATAATTATATCAGAAATGCTGTATCTGGCTTTATGTTTCTAACTTGTTATGTCTAGAACTTTGGTACTGCTAAGTACTTTTCAAGGGCAACAGGGCTGATGAACAGGAGGTGAGGTAACCCACAAATCTGTCACCTCAGAAACTAGACACAGTAAATCCATGGTGACTTTACACTCTTATAAGGCCTCTGAGCTCAGATTAGAATAAAATGAATGAAGATTTAAAAGTATTAAAAATAAGGAAGAAATTATTGATGATGAGGCACTGAAACAGGTTGTCTCCATCAACACTGGGCTCTTCTCACAGGCTTCTGCATCTTTGTCTGTGGAAGCCACAAGAGTAATCATCTTTTCATGCAGATGAAAAGACAGTTTCTGGCCTGGGAATTATATGGGCTGACTGCATGTGTTTGGACTGCCTGTTTTAAGGACTTACAATCAAGGGCATATATAACTTTTTTTTATTGTAAAATATTAGGGTTCTTGCAGTGTATTATATTTGTACTTCACTCTTAGTCTTTTAAATGTGTTGATAGTGTGCATACATATGTTTGTATGTTTTCACATAAACCAACAAGGCTAAATTAACACTGCTGTTTAAAATTTTAACACTAGCATACATAGATCAAAGAAGTTACATTAAACTTCCTTTAAAGAACAGAAATCCCTGAAGTAAGGAGAAATGCATACGGAACATAATCTTCATAATTTTTTTCATAGGTGATAGATTTCCTTTTAGGATTATCAAGGACAGAAAATGCCTGTTAATACGGCTTTCTGAAGAACTGTTTTCATCACATAAGCCATAAAACTATTTCTGAATATGTTTACATAAGCGTAGTAGGGCAAAGTGTGCTGATGTGATTTACACAAGTGTTTTGTCAAGTGAACAAGAACAGAACAAATCAATTTGGTCAGTGGGTACGTTGTTAATACTGGGCTAGAGTTCAGCATACTGAAGAGACTAAGGGAATGAGTACAAAGGTTCCAGCTCTGCTTCTGGGTCAAAAATATAGAGAGCCAGCTACATTTTGGCAACTTCTGTGAAATGTAAAAATGTTGTGGTCAAGTAATCGTGGAAATTACTACTGATGTAAAGGTTAGAGAAGCTTTATTGAATGATGATTCAGATACACTATATAAAGGTTTTATTCTGATTACCCCTCATTGCCGATTCCATACAAGTTCCCCAGTTCAATCTCAGTGTTGTAACTTATATTAGATTGGCTTTTTGGCAGAATTATTCTAAATCCAGTCAACAATTTGTCTAAGAAGCTGGCATATATTGCATCTTAGTGTCTGTTTCCAAGCTGTAACAACTTGGCTTTAAAGTCTTTTGACTGAAGTCTCCTTTTTAGTTTGGGTTCCCTCTATGTCTTCCCCCATACCACTGCCCTGGAAGTCAGGATAAAAAACAGCTAATCACTGATCATTATCACTCAAGCAGTTTATTACTTGGAAATGATTTATTTTGGTCTTCTTACATGGCACAGAGCACAAATGTCATAGTATCCACATGTGAATATGAATACTTGAAGAGTCTAGCTATTCATCTGTGCTACACAGACAACTGTCAAAATACAGATCAGCTAAAAGTGATTGAACAAGATGAAAACAGAAGAAAAGGCAAATTAAGTTTATTTCTCCAACTGCCACAAGCTTATCAGCTTGAAAGCATGAGCAGCTCAAGATTCCTCCCCTAGGTGATGAGTTCTTCAAGCCAGGATCCTTACCAGAAATGAAAGTATCTGTACTTTGTTGATTAGATCAAGGTCTTGAGAAGCCATCTGCAAGTGATTGTTTAAGTACTCACTGCTATGATTATTGGGAGTTTAAGCCTATTAATACCAGGGTCTCATAATTTCTTTGGGTTCTTAAATCCCTTTGCATTTCTAGTTTAGAGCAAACAAGCTTCAATAAGGATTCCATGGGACTTAATTCCCACCTGTATTACCAAATTTTGGTAATTCAAGTCCAAAATTACCTGCATTTGCTGTCTTCAGTATATGATGGGTATATTTTTGAGCAGGATTTTTGGAATGTTTGAATTAAGTATAATTATTATGCTCCAAGGAACAGACTTCTTTGTGATTCTTGAGACCTTTCTGATGGTGACTTAGTATGGGAACTACAAGGAAATGATTCTGTGTTGTAGTGTTAGTGGTGATGTGGTCTGTGTGATCAAACTAGGTTCTGCATACAGTTTTAGAGGCCATGCTATTTAATGATCTAAAAATTTTTGGATAAACCCTGTATACATTCTACTCTCAAATTAACTGTGAAGTATTCATTAGCAGAAGTAAAGAATATACATATGGTGGCTGGGAATAATGGCATTATTTTCTAAACAGCTATAGCTTTACTCTTTGCCCTAAAAGTAAGGCAGTCTGGGTCTTACATAGCACACCAAGGAGCAGTGCCATGTGATGTTCTTCACAGGAAATGACATAGATATGTGAGCACAACTTAATATTCTTTTTCTGGGGAAAAAATGGTTTAAAAGAGGCATAATACTTTAATCTTTATTTTTGCACAACTAATTCCTTTAATTTTATCATTGTAGAGAATGTTGAGGTTTATTTAACCTCTGTTTTCTATTATATATTACTTGTGTAGCGAATCTTAAAGGAGATAATGTCATTCATTTCTAGGATTTGTCCACAAAGCATAATTTCCTCTTTTTGTCCCACTTGTGTGAAGACTAAATGTCTTTAGCCAGCCATTTAAAATGATCACTTTTCATTACGGATCTATATTTTTTTTCAATTTGCCAAAATGTCCTAAAATTGTCTGCCCCTTTCTTCCCATGCTTAGTCTTGTTTTTACGTGGTGTATTCCGACTGAATGTTGTGAAGATACCTTATTTGCAAGGAAGGTGAAAGGCTCAATGGACTAGAGTGAAAATTTGGGGAAGTGCACGTAATAGTGGCTGTGCTCCTTGCTCATCAAATAGCACAGTGGCCTGGATGCTCACTGATCTTATGAGTCTTGGATGTTTTGTTTCAAACTTGGTTCCCAAGAGGAACCTCTAAGCTCCGTTCTATTAAGGCATTATGGAAGTAGAGATGAATGGACGGGGAAGTTATTGCTCTCTTTGTGCATAAATACTGAAATAACCACTGGAGCAAGGAGAAGAATCCAAGTGTTTGTCCTAGTTCCTAGGCAGGAGAGTCCTCTTTCTCTCCATGTCCCTCTTTGTATCTGTCTTTTTTTTCTCCAGCACAAACTGGAAGAATTCTAGCAGCTTCCTTAGACAACCCTAACCATTAAGCTGAAATGCCCCACTAAGTGAGGGCCTGTTCCACACTGTCTGAAACTTTTTGTTTTGTTTTTGTTTACTGAGCTGTAAAAGGTGAGAGACAGACTTAAGTCTCCTTGTCAGGAAGCTGTTCTGAAAGGTGGAATTTCTAGATTTCTATCCTGCTAGTGAAGAATTGTCTGGGCTACAGCCTGAAATAATGCTGTACCCACTGGCAAGAAGTTAGGCTGTCCTTCTGGGGGTTAAAAGCTGTAAACTTGACTGTCCTCAGACCAAGGAAGAAACTGAGTAAAGTCTCCTGTGTCTTGCTGCAATTGGATAAAACTGATACTCAAATAGTGTATCTTCTGTTTGAAAGAACTGAGCAAATGTGATTTTGGATGTTTAGAATAACTGAACCACACTTTTTTTTTTTTTCCAACATTCCTAATTGTACAAATTTTTACCTGGCAGTATAATATGCTACCATCCACATAAGTCACAAGTATGGTGGTTTTTTTTCTAGTAAAAACGACAGCTTGTTATTGATGTGCTTCATCAAAACTGCAGGTTAGAATCTTATCAAAATCATATTTGTATTTCTGCCTGACTACCATAGCTGTACAAATCTGAAGACTAATCTGTTTTATGCAACATCAGCAAGATTACCAACTACATCCTGATTCTGGATTTCTTTGGTGGTGGTGATGAATGATGTACTGGATGAAACAAAAGGAGTACACCTGGATTATTAGATACCATGCTGAGTGTATAATGCTGACACATAGGAAAATCTTGACTTGTAAGCTAAACACTTCGCATGGAAGGCAATGATAGATAATAAATAGAGCATCAGGATGTAAATCACTCATTCTTTACTGCAATTTATACAGTAATACAAAAAAAATACTTTTACCTTAAGACACACGTGGTCATCTGCATTTTTATTCTGGATGATCTCTACATGCTCTGCAGATACTGTCAATGAGGTCAAATGCTGCTATTGAATTTTGGCATTATAATAAAGATAATGCTGTAGGACACTTTCTATAAGAAGGATATTTTGAAATTGCATGTAGAAGATACAAGGAAGCCAACAGTTGAGGATTCTTAGTGGATGTTTAACTCCATCATCTCTTATACAGAGTAGAGTTGCACTTGTTCTTAATAGAAAGTGAATAAGGTTCTTTTCTCGCATCATAACAATCAATTTAATGCAAACATGTAACATATAAGATGAAAATGTCTCAGTTTAAAATTTAACTACAAGAAGTAAAAACAGAACAAAATGAATGCAAATCCAGCTCTATAAAATATGATTCTCATACTGTTGATTGTTTTATAAATGGCAAAGCAATAGGAATTTTGAACAATGCTACACAGCTAGTCTCTTTAAATAATCACTGCTTTCACTGAGGAGAAAAATTAGACAAACTTTTTCAGTGTTTCAGGGATTTTGGAATTAAGTTTTTTGTTTGGTGTCATTTGGAATAATAAGTATATAAATAACTTCTGTGTCAGCAGATAGCTTTGACACTAGTGGTCATCACTGTTTCTGAAGAGATTATTATGCAGTTAACTTGAAAGACCGATTGGTATTTCACAGTAGCTTTCCATATAATTTCTCTTAGTACCAGAGCAAGTACAAATTGTAACACTCGTGATTCATCTGCAAAACACAGTGCTTGCCAGTTGTTTTACTCAAAGTGCTTTGGTGGTGCGATCTGTCAGAAGGAAAGGTCAAGAGCTAAAAAAATCCACCCCAAAACAGGTATTACACTGCAGTTGTTCAGAGAGGATAACTTATTCCAGAAGTTCCATGGCTTTTTGCTTATCTTTGGATGTTCCCTGTCAGAAGGGCTGATAAATGTGAAAAGTTACCTTACTGATGACAGATCAGGATAAACCATTACTTGCTGTGTTAAGTCTGTGCTGGTGGGATGACTATGGAGGACTCCACAGCTGAGGTGAGAACAGTAATCGCTTCTGGCCACACCAGCTATCTGGAAGTACTTAGCACACCCTACAAGGGTGAATGAACCTGACTTATCGTGATCTTAACCTCAAAATATTATTTCATTTTTAATTTTTGTTATTTTATAGACACTGCCCAGACTGGCGCATTTATTGATTCCAGTTAAGATGAACCGATTAGTACTTCCTTGAGCTTTAACATCTCAAAGCAGAAAAATGAAATCCAATGTGCTTCTGTGAGAAGAAAAGTTTTGCATTCCTACCACTCTCTGATAGAGATTATCAGAAATGAAAAATGCTAAAATGTCACAAACTAAAACCTCTAGAGCTGCATCCCCTCATACTTCCCTTTTAAAGCTTCACTTTGCTATTCCAAAACACTACTTACCACAAAAGCTTACTTGGCAAAGTAGTATAGCAGCTTTAATTGTGTAAACACCATTTATGCCACAAGTTGCATTACATACTTAGTTCACAAGAAAAAATTACCTTGTAATACTTGATTTTCTTACCTGCTGGCTACTTTGTTGATTAGTATCATCTCTGAAATGTAGTTTTCTTTCCAGGTCCTTCACAAGTGCAGCTTTATTTTCCCGAATAGATTCATCTGTTGGTAACTGCAAAGGCTTTGGATTTTTCTTTGTTACTCCCTGAGTTGAGCTATTAAAAGAACATTCTTATATGCATACTAATACACATATATTCACCTGCATGATATATTAAGATTCAGTTATCTGAATATAAGCCATATAAGCCAAAGCATAATATACGATTTTTTTTTTTTTTTTTTTTTTTGGGGGGGGGTGTGTGTACTATTCTTGTGGTGTTTCTCATTCTGATTAATGCTATCAAGAATGAAATACATTTTAAAGAAAATAAATGTTACAGTATTATAATAAAACTCTAGGTTCTGTTTTGATGTATCCTGGAATGATGTTGCAATGGATTAATGCCATGATTATACAACTAGTAGGTTTTACTATATCATGCAATAATTTGATAAGTTAGTACAATTTCATATTGACTTTTATCTCACATCTTCAGTGATGACTTTCTATCACTTTCCTTCATTTCTCTCACTTTTTTATGACACACATATAAAGCAGTTCTTTTTGATTTTGTAGATGTAGCATGTTTTCTTTTGGTGAGGTCTGAAAATAGCAATCTCTAGACTATCGTTTAAGAACTGAAACACAGCAGTCACATGATACTAGAGTACAAAGTTCTAGATTTCCAGTAGTTAAGATCTTAATAACAGCTCTAGGTAAAAGGCATGACTGACTATTGCTGTGCAAAGTATCTCCCCGTGGATTGTTCTGCATAAAAGATTCCAAGTATGTGCCACAGAGTGATTCTGATGACCTACCTGTGCTGAGCAATTAGGAAGTGACGGAGCAGGGATGCAACAATGATTTGAAGCCAGGATTTCCTGGCACAGAAGGTGGTGAATGCTGTGTATATGGCGGCACATTTTCTGTTGTAAGATCTGTGGATCCATTATCAGTAAGATAAGTAGGAGTCTGTGCTTACTGATGGTTATCACTAACTGGAGGTGTACTGTTAGTAAAGTGGGAGATATTGCTCGCTTTGTACAGGATTTGGAGTTGTAAGAATAGAGTTGTACAGATGCTAACCATGCTAACACAGAACTCAGTCTCTGCAAAAAGGATAGTAATTTTAACTCTCTATGTGAGAAAGGAACTGTAAAGGCCACAATCTTTCTAGCATATCAGTACCCTGATTTGCTTGTATGGTGCTATTGTCATTTTGTCAAGAAATCATGCTGGCTGTCAGTTAAAATATGTTTGTGCAAACCATTAATTCTTCTGAGATTTTCAACGAGGTCTTAAATACAGGAAGTATTGCAACCAGAAAAATAATTTTCCATAAGTTATTCCTTTAGATCTACCATGTGTAGGAAATTGCATGTTGCAAGGTACCAAAAGTTGTGCTTACAATAGTGCTAACACAAAGTGCTTGCAATATGTTAGAATGCTTTTGTAGCTGATGTAGGCAAATAGTCTTACAGTGACTTAACCTGCAAGCTCATTAAATCTTTTTTTCCCCAGTAGAATAGTCCTATTAATCTCTGACTGAGCCCCCGTACTGTTGTAGGCATCTACTTGAAAATTCTCTATAGCTTGAATTTATCTTGCTTTGAAGAGAAGATAAATAAAATATATAAGCTTATTTTTATAGAAACTTCTCTCTTCTTAACTGAATGTAAAGGTTAGAAGAAATAATGAGAATATATGTCACTCACTCTATTTTATGAATGACCCGCATTTCAGGAAGCTCTTCACTGAACCTTCAAACAGAAATGCATCTTAGTTTTCCTCAATGTCTCTGCTTCTGCACGTACAGTTAATACTACTTACGTGACTGGTGTGCTTCTGGGCAGCCCCATAGCATTGGTTGATGGTGGAGAAGGAAGTGAAGGAAGCACAGCGCTAAGGAAAGCTACTGGATTCTGAATCCAGCCAGTTGGGGAGACAGGAGCAGGAGTCACGCTTTGTGGCTGAAACTGTTTTACACTGGATGTAGACAGTGTTAATGGGACCGTAGATTCTTTAGGGCTTGGTGAAGACTGTTCACTTTTGCCTGTAAATCCTCCTGATGACCTCGATTGTGCAGGTGGAGGATTTCCTGTGATATTTTCCCTGCTATTTGTTCTTTGCATTCCTTGAGAGACGCTGCTGAATATTGTTACTGAGGAGCTAGAAGAGGAAATGATAGGTGGTGTGGTCTGCGATGGTAGAAACTGCTTAGGTCGGGTATAGCTGAACGCTTGTGAAACAGAGGCTTTGCTTTGCTTGTATGTGGTTGAGGTGGACTGTTGATTGAGTGAAGTAGCAGAATTCAATGAAGTCGTGTTGAATGACAAATCTCTCGTAGATGTCTGATGCACTTGCTGTTGCTCAAGCAAGACCTGGTTGTGAAGCTGTTTTAACTGGGTCAGATCGCTGCATACAAAATGAAGATGAGCAAGATTAGTCATATCTCTGGGTGAAAACTTTGTACTGGCTATGTTTCTGTATGTGAACTGCAAGAGAAAAGACTATATCCTGTGATAGAATAACAGTTAGGGCAAGTTGCTAAATGACATTCTCTAACAGTACAAGAAGAGTGTTACGCTAGTTGGACTCTATACTTTCCTTCCTCCTTGTTCCTTGCTAGGATAATGATCAAAGTGCTTTGAAAATTATTTGGCTGAAGATGCTTTTTGCACTTCAACATATAAAATATAATTAAAGACCTTACCTGAAAATATTTAAGGGCTAGCATTGTCCAGCATTACATAGCATTCTGCTGTGTATTACCTTAGTACATCTTTGCTTGTGTTTAAAAAAAAAAGTAGGACTGGATTTGTTGGAATGAGAATTTGCAAGCCAGAAATTGCATGCAGTTATTCGTTTCCTGCTCACGTGAGTTCTGAGAACAGCATTTTAGCTGATAAGGCTTTGTGATAATTCACACTGACACTTGATGATAGGCAGTAGTGATCAATTAGAGAATGCTCATGCAATTGTTATTTCTTAGATACTATCTACTGCATATTGTATTCAAGGCTTTTCTACTTTGCAACTAAGAAAAAAATACTTAACAAAATAAACCACAATGTAAAATATACATGGGAATACAGCATACAGAAAATATTCTAGCTTTTACCCTTCCAAAAAAACCCAAAAAGAATTTAAAAGAAACTGATCATGTTGTCCAGTATTGAATAAATAGTTCAGAAAGTGAAAAATATAGAAGCAGAAACTAAATGGCACTGCCAAACCAAGTAAGTTAACCAAACTTTTTACTTTAAGAAATTATTGTTTCTATAATTTACTAAACAAAAATCACATTAAATTCTGGTTAAGACAGGAATTTCAAGCTTCCAAAACTAGAAAGAAGTTGTGCAATCCTGATTTTTTTATTTTTTGTCTCCTTCACATACATCTGCATATGAACGCACTCCTTTGTTACAGCTTGTGGGTTTTTCCTGAGAGAAATCATGGCTTATGAAAGCAGAGATGCAAGTTGTGGCCAACATAAACACTGCTTCTGCTCACCTCTTAAACACACTGTAGCTCTGCAAGTCGACAGGACCGTGAGGCTGGGTTTCAAAAATAATAATAACAATAAAAAAATTCTGCTCCAGGTTCTTCCTCTGTCACTTGGTAAGTTATTTTCTTGCTTGCAATGTTTCGTCCTATGAAATTACATCCCTGCTTAAGAGCATCGTTGAATTACTTTATAAAGTCCTTCCCTAGCCTTTAGTTAAGCTTCTCTCTGTTTAAGAAGTGTGCTCTTTGTTAAGCTAGATTTTGGAGGTTCTAAAAATGCTGAAAGGATTCTTAATACACTGCAGTGTATGTTCCAGAGATTTTTCTCTAAGAGAATTACGCAGCTATTTAAAATTTTTTCCCTTGGACTCAGTGCACTAATCATGCGGGTGCTTTTTAGTTCAGTTGATTTCACATTACCAAACACTTAAGTATTTCATCCTTTTTTTTTCTTCTTTTTTTTAAGGAAAGTTACATTTGTAAGACACAGGCATGAGGCATGGCCTTTGGGACTCTGATTGCTAGCTAGTTGCTTGCCCAAACTGCGGGCAAGACTGAAAATGAATGCTTTTGGCAAAACTGCATACTGAGAATTGAGTGAGATATATCTGAAAAGCCCGTTTCTATTTTGCCTGCACAGAAGCATTGTTATCTGTTGTTTGCAGCTGAAAACTGTAGAATTAAATAAACCTTAAAGGGGTAAGTATTTTCTATAAATTTGGAGAATGCTTTTCTCAAGAGGGATATACATCTCTTTAGAACATGTTTTCTGAGAGTACAGTTAATTAGATTAGCACTGTGTGATATTGCTTGTTCCACGTTTGAGTCTTGTGCCTTAGTGCAACAATCTCTTGGTCTATGAATAGACACTTGATAATGCAGATATTAAATAATATCAGTGATGCTACTGAGTCTTAGAATACCTTTTACTTACAGCTTTGGTTTAGCCAGTACTGGAGGGGGTTCCTTGGATGGTGATGTTGGCTCTGGTATTTTCACTGGCTGTCCGTTTATCTTGTCATGAAAATAGCTGGGTCTGGTTTTGTTTGTAGTGCCAAGTCCATCTTCTGGTGGCGATTCACTTCCTTTATCATCTTCAGGCAGCTTGAAGTGCACACGGAGGCCTATCTTGGAACTCGATCTGGGTTCATTGTGGTTCACAAGAACACCTTCAAGTTTAGGTTTGGGGTTTTCATTTACTACACGCTGGGAAGGATTATGTGGGGGCGATTGATTTTCAACAGCTATTGAGTTGATTGAGCTCATTGTGTGAAGGGCAGCAGCATTATTACTGTCTTCAGGTGCTGAAATAATAAATATCAAACTTTTGATGATAAATACCATAAATTATGGTGAACTGAAATTAGGGAATTTAAAATTGGAAAAACTCACTCTAATGTTTTTGCCAGCTGTTGGAAAGAGTAATTTGACCTTATTCCTTTAACAATGAACTCCCTTAAAGAAATACTGGGAAGGGGGAAGAGGCAGGAGGAGCTGCCAGAGCCCTAGTTTGGAAAATCCAGTAGTGTTCTACAGCCACATCCCTGTGATTTCCACCAGTGTCTTTGAAATACAAACTTTCTTTTCACAGAATTCTCTTACTCAGTAGTTGTGAAGAGTACTTTCACAGGCCTTGAGTTGAATTAGAGTCAAGTGTGCTGTGTTATTTGTTTTTTTTTTTGTACTGGTTCTTTGCTTGCTTATCTGCTTAGTGCCTTGACAGCATGAATCCTGCTGGCAGCATAAAAGAATCTGTTTGGGAATTTCCTCCTTTGGCTCAGCGCTAAAGGACATTTGAAATAGCCAACCAGACAGCCCTTCAGATTCCAGAAATGGCTATTGCACAGATCTTAAAGTTAGCAAAAGCCCTGCTGTGGGAAGGGTTGTGGGGCATTCATTCCCTAACATTCCTATTTCCTTCACATTTCTAACTGGGGAAAGACTCTTTGAAAAGATGTAGCATTCTGTGTTTCTGATCTGGATATGCTCCTTGGACCACACAGTGCAACAGTGTGCCCTGCTCATATTCACTAGCAAGCAAATGACTAAAGCATTCTCTTACCTTTGACAGTTAGCTGAGCTATACTAGATACTGTGCCATACTTATTGCTTGCAGTACAGGTGAAGCTGCCAGAATCTTCTGAAAATACTTCAGCAATAACCAGAGTACAAATTTCCTCTGCAAAACATTGGAACAATATTATTACTTGTAATGAGCATACAGTGAACAAACACAAAGCTTTGATTACCAGAGGCGACATTACAGTAATGTTTTCCACCTTTTTCAGTTTGATTTTTTTTTGTTTCGTCTTTTTTGTCAGTTTTGGCAGCCTTTGTGTGCAGCAGCTGTTATCAGCATTGTCTGTAGCAACTGGTACGCTCTGTGCTCCAGCATGCCCAACAAAAGTGGAGAACAGGTGGCAGCAATGTTTGGAAAACATTGGAGAATGTCCTCCTAATCATGTAAAGTAGACTTTCTCTGTGAATAACTTAAAATTGAATTTGGAGAAATATCATGCACTCTCTTCACTAGTAATTTTAAAAAAATATATGTATGCAAATGGAAAGATTAGGTGTAATTAACTGGGAAAATTCAAGTAGAGTCACCCTGTGAGATGAAGAAAAGTGAGACACATACCTTATGGCCAGCATTTTTCAAAAGTACTAGTGAAGATTTGCAGATAGAGGTGACTGTGCTTTTAGAAAGTTGCTTTTTTCTGTGAAGAAAGCTCTTGTGGGAGTGAAAAATGTGAGTGAAAAATTTTGTCATAAAAATGAAATTATGTCCTGAATAGTCAATCAGGGATTACTGCCTGAGCAGAATCTAACATCCAAGACAGTATCTGACATCTAGGCAGCAGCAAATGAACTAGATGATCTCCAGAGGTCTCTTTCGACCCCTGATTCTTTGATTATTACATCTTTTCTTCAGGCAGCTGGGAAGGGGAGGGAGGGTAGCATCTAAAGGGTGCCAAAACATGGACTGATAGCATTTTTTCTTTAGTCAGTGACTACTTTGCTACCATTTTGCAAGAAATGTTCCTTAAGCTTCACAGGATTAATATTTTATGAGTATTTCTGTAGAAGACTGTACCATGCTTAAATGTGATTTTCATGTCATCCCTATGAAGAATCTAGTAGCAGAGAAGAGGTTATCTGCTTACAACTACAGAGGAATAATAGTTTATTATAGTAGTAGGATTATAAGAACTAGTTTAAGGCATTATAGTATCTAGTTTATAGTACTTGGATTTGCCAACCATTGCATGCATGGAAATCCAGATTCCTTCTGAATGAGCAGCAGGTGATGAGGCAGTGACAACTGCACCCAACTGGTTACCCACTAAAAACTGCTTCACATTACTCAGCAGTGATGCCACTGGACAGTAAAGGAATGGCATCAGTAGGTTCTGGTAGAAGTTCAATTTATTCATTCCTAAATCTAAGAGGCACAGACATTGCATAGAGAGGGATGATCCTATAAATTTCACAAGAGTCTATTTCAAGACATTTTTGGGGGTAAAAATATTTTAATATGGCAAGGAGAAAAGTTACCCAAGCCTGTATTCCATGATTGGTAATTTTTTTGTCTCAAGAGAGGCTACTTTATTTTTAATAGTGAAAAATATAACAGAGAAGGTGACTATTTTACGGAGAAGTAATCAAAATCTATAAGACTCCTTTGCTCAAATCAAGCAGAGTAGTCTGTGCTCTGCTCTGACCCTTAAAGTGAGCAAATCCAGTCACTTTTTTAGGATTTGCTGATATCAGGGGTGGAACACCTGATGTGATACTCTCGTATTACCGTGGTAGGGAGCAAAGGGAATGGCTGACATGGCTAAACATCTGATGCAATATCCCCAACTGGTGAAGTAGATAAAAATAGTGCAGACCTACATCATTTGGTGCACTTCTTAACCTCAGATGTAGGGGGACCCTCATACATTAATGTTGTTAATCCTCAGCATGTAAACATGTAATGGTTAGGCCCTAGGACAGAACTGGGTCAAACCAGAATGGAAACATTATTTTCTTCAAAAGTGATGTAATTAATTCAAGTTCTATGTTTACAAAACATTCTGTAGTTATATATATCTCACTACTAGCTATTGGATGTAAGTAAATTAAGAAATTGCTTTAATTACATTATAGAGTTTAATTGTTTAATATTTTGTGAGATTAAATCACCAAAGTGATATACAGTGAATAAAGTGTGACCTTCTTGATGATACTCACCTGGTTCAGCCATAGATCGTGGTTCTAAAGGGAAGGATAACAGAATTAGTACATGAAGTATATTTTCTTTTGCCAATATATATATATATTTTTTCTTGAACGCTAACTCTATAACCTGATCTCCTCTGTATAACAGAGTATTCCCTTTGGAGCAATGTTCTGTTTAGGGGGTGGCAGAGACAGTTAAGCCTTCTACTCAACAGTATGTCAAATCCTTTGTACATTATGAACACCTTTGAGCACTTACAAACAGAAAACAAATTCTGCAAGAAGGAGATTTTTGCATTATTAGTTTTACTTCAGTGTGTGTTGATGATTTCTGAAGCTATTACGCGCATGAAATCAAGTTATGATAAAACAGCTTTCATTTAGTTTTGATTTAGTGTGATATTTAAGGATTTTTCTACTGAGTTTTAGCAAATTCAGCATTCTAATGACTTATGTGAAAGCCACAGACATTTCAGCTGTATTAGAAAAGGGAAATAGAAGTATATACTTATAACCAACCATGTATTATGTGCAAAGAGGTACATGTGAGAATGCTAATGTGTTCATCACATTACTTTTGTGGAGAAGTAAGCAATCCTCTGTCTGCAAGCACTAATGTAGTGGCACTTAAGTAAAACATGAGGCTCTTCATAGGCAACAGAACTCTACATAAATGGTGCAGAAAGAAAAAGAAACAGCAGAATTGAGGCTGAGTTAGAAAAGGATTTTATAGTATAAAGGAGATTAAAGCAGAAGGCAAAACAATGCAGTAGTTTAGGGAATCTGAGACAGATACTACCTGTCAGCAGTTCAATTCATCCACAGTTTTGGCTTCTGGGACCCACATTTATTGCTGTAAATATGGCTTATAAGGCTCTTAGCATTGTAGTAAGAAACCCAGTGTTCCTATGTTAACAGTTTTGTTGTTTGCCTATAAGAAACCTACTTTTCTGTAATATCCGAAAATCTGGAGAATCTTCTATCAGTGTTCCTTCTCGATACCATTCAACCTTTGGGGAAGGCGCTCCTTTCACCCGGCATTCAAAGACTACAAGCTGCCCCTCAGAAGCTGAAATATCCTGTAACATCTAACAAAGGAAATGAATACACACAGTCAGTACACGTTTTATTGGACTACAAGTAATACTGATTTCAGTAAGGTTTCATATGATGACTTGAGTGCTTGAATGCCTTAAGAAATGCATAATTCCTGTATTTCCTTTCACAGCTGAAAAGTCCTCTCTATACAGTTAATTTATCTCTTAATGAAATATGTCATGAAACAAGTTACCTTTGTAAACACAGGAGCAGCAACTATAGGTCTTCCATCCAATCCTTGCAAATAGTTTGTGGGGCTTTCAGCCTGTAGATTGCAAAATACCACATGATGTTTGGGGAAAAAAGATTTTTCTGTATGTAGAAGGGACGTGACACATCTTTTACAATCTAGTTAAATAATTTGAAAATGGAAAGGCTCAGGCACCCCCCCCCCATCCCCCCTTGAATTTTAGATGAAGAGGGCTTCCTGTAAGAATTTTATTCTAGTTTAAATAATTTCTGGGATTGAGTAGTGAAAAATACATCAATTTTACAAAGCATTGCTATTACTAAATCCTAGATGAGAGAATTATTCAGATTGCTATTACTAAATCCTAGATGAGAGAATTATTCAGATGCTGTATACTAGAAACATGGAAAATGTAGGTTCTGAAAGGAGGAAGAAACTTAAGTGAGTGTCAGATTGATAGGTGAATACTGTATGGTTGTTGAGGAGTATGAAATGTGCTTTATGCTCATGGAATGATACAAAAAGAGATTTTGGTGAGTGAATTCCAGAGCAAAGCTTACAATGCAGTGAATAAATGTTGCTCCATTGCTGGCTATTGGAAAACTTGGTTATATAACTTGATTAGTAGAATTTCTTAATTGAAATAAAAGTTGCCCCGGAACACCAGAATTAGGGATTCAGCATCTCAAGAGAACACAGCCAAATTTTACACATGGTGTCTTACAGGCCAGGAAGCTTGAATGTGGTAATAAGTTTTAGAGATTATAATAATTTCTTAGTTAGGATACCTCTGTCAAAATGCATCACAAAGGCTTAGTTCTGTTTCCTTTGTAGTCAAAAGTAAAACCGCATTGCTTCATCTGTTCCATCTCTTTAGTGATTGCCACCTATTTCTAGGCTGTACATGTTGCAAAGGCAATATGGAGGGAATTTCTCATTAACTTTTCAACGATTTTAAAGTAAGTTTCATTTTTAAATAAATACCACTGTTCTTTCCTATTAAGGAAGAAATCTGTTATGATTATTCTGAAAGCGTGGAATGAAAAGGTCCGGAACTGCATGCTAACATTAATGAGAAACTGCTGTGAGAGAGGGAGAGGAAAAAATTGAAGGCTGCTGGTATTGAAAGTGATTGAGTCAGTCTGCAATGTGAAGACGCCAGTGAGCTGACTTATGCTTCCAAGTGCCCTTCGTGGCATGCAGTGTCTGACCTGCTGGAGTGCACACAGGCTTCTGTGGCTGGCTGAGCTAGCAGCAGCTGCTCCTTCTGCTCACTGCTGCAGAGATGCCTGTACCCAGGGATGAAAGGTTCCCTTCCCTTTGCCAGGTGGTAAAGGTTAGCTGGCAGCCCGGACATCTCGTCTGCATATGCAATTACTAAATGGCTGCAAGTTTCAAAGCTGAAGTGCAACAGTGAAGCAAAAACTGGAAAATGTTGAGATTCTGAGCCTCAGGCTGTGGATTAAGCGCCACTTTAAGAGCTTGCTTTTGATTCTGGAAATGAAATATATTGTCTCTCCTACCTGATTAACTGGCATAGACACAGTCTGGACAGGTGCTGACAAAGGCTGGACCACAGTAGATGATGCCTTGGAAGTTTCTAGAGGCTTGGTTGCAGCTCTGGTAGCAGGAGGTGCTACCTTCATGGAGGTGTCAGCTGGCTTTAGGTTGCTGTGTAATATTAACCAGAAAGAAATTTTTTAACTGGAAGCTAGAGCTACGTGCATTTCCTTTGGTTATGTCTGTACTAGCTATGTGTCAACCCTGACGGCACTTCTGAGATTGAGTTCTAGTATGTACAACCAGGTAAACTTCATTTTGGAAGAATCAGCCTGCGTATCTTGATACTTTAATCACTCATCTTGCTCAGATACTCCAAATGTAATAAAATGGCCTGAGTTAGCCCAGCTGTAGCTTGAAAAATGCTATTAACTGCTCTGAGTAGCATGAAAGGGTGATAGCAGTTTCTCTTGCACTGCTCACTAAGTTTGTATGCAGATCTGGGCTCATAAGGTAATGAAAATACTGTGGTCCACTTAGATACAGATTCAATAATCCTTTGCAAAGTTTTAAAAAAACAAACAAGAAAAACCCAACCAAACGGGAGGGGTGTGTTTTCTGACCAACAAATCATTCAGAGTTACTGTACGGGTTGACAACTACTCACTTCTTCTGTCTGTTCCTACATGGAAGTAAAAATTTTGACATTTTATTTTTCTGGTGAAGTAAAATGATGCAGAGAACTAAGATTAAAAAAAAAAAAAAATAAAAAAAAAAAATCTCATTTTGAATTATGTGCTGGCTGATCTGCAATGCACCACAAATCCCTTCAGGAAAGCCAGCCTTCAAACCCCAGGAGGCAGTCTGAGATATTATAGTGGTAAGAGCTGGAAACTAAGCAAAAATAAGACACCTTGATTATACCTATACCTGATCTTTCAGAATTCTACTGTTTGAGGACGTCCGTGTACAATGTCAGAACAGCATTCTTGTTTTTTCTTAAGTAATGAAGAATGTGATGTTACTTCAAGATTTAATGATATTAGCAGACTCAAGAGATGCTGTCAAGTAATCAGGATGATGATCAGAATTAGGATCAGGATCAATACTGTATTAATCACTAACGAGTTAATTGAGGAAAAACTGCTATTCCTGAGACACTTGGAAAGCTCTAAGCTAAAACAATAGAAAAACTTAGCAGTTGATCCCCAAACCTGTGAGATTTTCTTAATCTTAAGTTTTATATGAAACCTCTAAGCTTATCACAGTCCATAAATCAATCCAATCTGGTATATTTTATGACTTTGAGATAAAAATCACCTAAGACAAGATTTGCTTTATGTCAGGCTATGAAGTAGTTCAATCATACTGCAATGTTTTGTATTTGATTTAAAGTGAATACTTTATTCTTGATAAATTATGGAGGAAAAACAGAGTGCATAAGTCTATCTAATTGAAGTTTGCTTTTCATAAGCATTGGTTGCATTTTATATTGAATTGGTGTATACGAAGGAGTTTAAAATAGTGATTATTGTGGCTTTTCACCTGTCTGATTCCATTTCCAGTTAACAGAAAAACTTTGATTTTTGAAAGACTAACAGCATTGGATCAGGTTCTAAATGCACAGGGAATGGATTTTGTTTAGGAAAAATTAGAAAACAATTTCCCAGATTTTAGATTACATCTGACACCAAACAAAGCCCAAATAAAAGCATAGGAGTTGCAAAATAGAAATGGAAATATCTACACTTGCAGGCTTATTTAGCTGTAAAAAATAAAGAAGTATAACTTATTTTAAACTTACTGATCCATTTCGTCTCTGACGGTTTCACCTTCAGAGTCAGAAGAAGAGGCTCCTATGAAAACCCAGAAAGAAAAAAAAAACACTTAGTGGTGTGGTTTTTGGAGAATTTTGTCTAAGAATCATACAAACCAGTATTAAGAATTCCCATAGAGTATTTAAAGAATGCTGTATCAATATTTATTACAAAGGTATGCCAAAATGCAAGATCATGTTGCAGTGGATGTGAACCATGCTGTTCATTACATAGAGTACAAGATGCAGAACTGCTGTTGACATAAAACAGATTTAGAATGAGGGTCAATTGAAATAAGCAAAACAGCATCTGTGAGTGAATGCATACCTGAGTACTCCTCAGGATCTATTTAAAATGCCACTATTATATTAGTCTTTAATTGCCATTGTGGATCAAATAAGAGCTGCTTTTCTCAAGCACCTGTTAGAAGAAAAGGAGGGGGAAAAAAACACACCTGGGATCACAACTATTGTTCATACATTGGTGCCTTGTAGCACAGTTAAGAGAAGATATCAGCACGGTTTACTAACAGCTGTCTTCTTGAGACACGTTACACTTCTAATTCAGTCTTCACTGACTTTGGAATTGTCATTTTCTCTGTGGCTTCTGCTAATAAGCGCATCCATCTGCCATGTGTTCCACCCAGCATCCACTGAGTTAGATAAAAGCAGGCCTTGGCCCAAGTGTTAAGGACTAAGAAACCTCTGCCAAGCACAGACATCTCTCTTTAATGTTGGGGCAGTGCTGATACTAAAAAAGGATTCGTCCTTTTGCTGTCAGATTAGAGAAGTGAACAAAGAATAATGATAGAGTGAAAGTACTCTTGTATTAAGTGGGGTAGGTGCTTTAATTTATGAATGGTCACACTGTTGTCAGTGGTGTCACATACTAATATATTCATCTGTCTGAGAAACAAAAAAAAAAAAAAGAGGAAAATTCTACATGCTTATTTTAAATTTGCAATCCTCTTAATGTGGTGATGGATACAATCTAAAACCTTACCAAAAAGGTGTTATAAAGAGATAACTTATAGACCTTTCTTAGGAAAGGTAGGAAAAAATGCTAGGTAGAAAAAGGAGGGGAGAAAAAAAAATAGACTTCAATATGCGGAGACATATTTTGTTTTGTTTACAGCATCTATTGTGCAGGTAAAAGATCCAATTGCTGCTGTGTACTTTATCATTTTGGTTACAGCATCCCAATAATAAGTTAGGATTGAGCTACTTGAAAATTTTTCTTGTGGAAAAAGACCAGCTCTGACGAGCTATCCTACATTCAATCTACAATAATGACTCTAGGGAAAAGGGGCTGATTAAAATTACACACAAAGTTGAGATTTCTTTTATTTAGAGTAACCACGTGCAAAAAACATCTGTTGGTATTGGAATTTCAATGTTTTTAGACTTTGATCTTGCAATGAAATATGTAAAATCTCTGGGAAGCAACATAATTAAAATCATAAGTAAAGAGCAATCAATTATATGAAAGATGTTTTACAGAGATGCTAAGTATGTTAGTAGTGACTGAAATGACTTCTGTGTATTTTTGTGATAAATCTAATAAGCACGTAACATACAAAATGCATAATTTTATCTTAATTCTGTATTACTTATTTCAGCAACCATTTCTGAAACAACTTATAATGTTACCTTCTATGTAAATCTCTGCAGATGTGGAGTCTGTTCCATAGATATTTGAAGCAAAGCACGAGTAACGTCCTGTATCCTCCTCAAAAGCTTCAACAATTACCAGTGAGTGTCGATCACCTGTCTGGATAATTTGAATGTCTGGTGAATTTTCAAGCTCCTTGCCTTCACAGTACCACCTGCAAGGTAATACATAAATAAATAAATAAATTTGGTTTTATCAGTAAAAGCAACCTGACAACGAGAATGACAACACTGGAAGTCTTTCTGATGATAAAATGGGTAGTTTTTAGCCTGAAGGTCCAAGCAGAGTATTGCAGACAAGCTGGATCAACAGTCATAGAAATAAAATATTTACAGCTTCCACAATATTCAGGTACAGAGAATAACAGAGCTCCTTTCTTTGCAGTATTTTAAACATACTAACAAACTAGTTTATATAAGGGATGTATTTTTCCTGATTTATAGAATTCAATAGTAGGGTGGAAGAAAATGAAGCTATGAGGTTGGAACACTATCAGTCCAGCTCTGAATTCTCTTAAGGTGCATTTAGATCTGTGTTGTAGCTTAAAGAGTAGCAAAAAAAACCCCACAAAACAATCCTTAAAGAAACAAATTTCCTTTGAATTTTTGATTCCAAGGTTCATGTTGTCTCAGAACGTGACTTACAGGAAATTTCACATTACTCTTCATTTTGTGAAAAAGTAAGAAAATCTGCTTTTGGTAAAAAAAAAAAAAGTAAAAACAAAAACAAACAAAAAAAACCCCCACACATAAATACAGAAAGAGAAGTGATTTATTAAAATATGGTGATACTTCCTTACAGGGCAACAGCAGTAAGAAATCTGGATCCTGAATTCTTTTCTGCATGACATTGCTCTATTTCTCTTTGAAACCCAGCTAAATATCCACAAGTATTTTGGGCCCTTTAGAGACTTCACATTCTCATCTAAGACTTTCCTAAGTGCTCTTAATTCCCTCAGTTTTCAGAAGGCTGGTTTCAACAAATGTAGGAGCCCAAGGAAAAGAAAAAGCAGCCCCCGAACAGACAGTTCATTGAGATGTGTTCATGACAGAAACCATCAGCTCAATTTTTGAGAACTAACAGCAGCAGAGAACAGTCAGTGATCCTCCCCCTCTACTCTGCCCTGGTGAGGCCTCATCTGGAGTACTGTGTCCAGTTCTGGGCTCCCCAGTATGAAAAAGACAGGGATCTCTTGGAAAGAGTCCAGCGGAGGCCACGAGGATGGTGAAGGGCCTGGAGCATCTCTCCTATGAGGAAAGGCTGAGTGAACTGGGTCTGTTCAGCCTTGAGAAAAGAAGACTGAGAGGGGACCTGATCCAGGTTTATAGATATCTGAGGTGTGGGGGTCATAATGGTGAGGCCAGTCTGTTTTCAGTGGTGAGTGGAGACAGGACAAGGGGAAACGGCCGGAAACTTCAGCATAGGAAGTTCCGCATGAATGTGTGTAAGAACTTCTTTACAGTGAGGTGACGGAGCACTGGAACAGGCTGCCCAGGGAGGTGGTGGAGTCTCCTTCTCTGGAGATGTTCAAGACCTGCCTGGATGCCGACCTGTGCGACCTGCTGTAGGGAACCTGCTTTGGCAGGGGGTTGGACTCGATGATCTCTGGAGGTCCCTTCCAACCCCTACAGTTCTGTGATTCTGTGATTATTGCTTGATAAAATGAAAAATACATAACAAAAGGAGAAAAACCACGTGGATTTGCAGAACCAGACTCAAATTCTATAGGACAATCTAGGTTTTATAGAGAAGGTGTAGTACTATGGATAGAAATCCAAAGTTAAAAGGTTGGGATGATGTTCAGTGATACAGCTGTTTTTAAATAAGTAGCTAAACTTAAAAAGTCCCTCTGAGATGCTATCAAAGCAATGAGAAATGCATTTACTGTTACATGCTGCACCAAATAGGATTTGTTGAAGAAAGACTAAGGATATTTTGATTAATAAATTGTAATATTTCCCACTTTCAAGCTCATACTGTAAATTGTTTTTGTACAATTCTGCCTTAATTATATAAAGAACACGAGTCTGTCTAACCAGTTAGTTGCATTCACCTCTTGAAAACAACTTTTTATGGCAGTTTGTGATGCAAATTGCATGTGGAGAAAACCCCAAATGAATATGCTGGGGATAAAAGAAAAAAGCTATAAGGAAGTCTATAGCATAGAAAACCAGTACTTAATAGAAGCATATTTTGCAATCGGAAAAAGGAGCCTCAAAAGGATTGTGAGGTATAAAGGAGTACAGAACTGGAACTTAAATAGTGATTAGATAAGAAGTAAACTGTACTATTTGTGCACCATCAATATCAGCTGCCCAGCATGGCTTTCTTAAAGTAGGCAGGGTATTCCCCAGTCCACCTCAAGTTGCATGCTACTGTAATCTGTAGCTGTACAGTTCACTGACAGCCTGGAAACTGTGCGTGTCCACCTGCTATGGTGGGAATCTCCTGAACTGTACAATGAATTATACTGCTTGACACAATTTTCCCTTTTAGAAAGGCAATCTGCTATAGATAGATAGATCTAAAACTTAAAAGCCTTATTTTGTGTTTACATTTGCCTGCTTATCTTCTTTTACAAGCTTCCACTGTAATGGGAAATGAAAGTTCTTCTAATTAAACAATTTTTGTGAAATTGGTGTTTCTGACTAGCAGCAGGCAGATACGAAGTAAATATCACCATGTTAAAAGAAAATGCCAGTAGGGTGTGAAATGCCCTATCTCTCATGACATTTCACAGCTGAAGTACAGATTTACTACAATAAAATATATCCACATCCTCCTTGCAGGGTTTTACCAAAGTGAAACTGGTGCTGCTTTACACAGAGAACTTCGGCCAAGGTTATCCAGTTCTCTTCCATTTGAGCCTATAGAGCTCTGATAGGCAAGCTCTTGCAGATACTGGCAGCATTACTTTAAAATGTTACCATCTCAATGTTCACTTTTCTCCTGGAAGCAAAGAATGTGAAGAAAGTGAAGAAAGAAGTGAAGAAAGAATGACAGGTTCCAATGTATTTGTGGGCACATCTGTCCCTGGTCTGGCCTGATGAAAATGGGTTTGCACGAGAGCACTGGACATGCAGATCTAGGACAACTGAATTATACAAATTCTCTTCTAACCCACTTCTGATACCTGCAAGTAACCGTAAAAGAAGGGGTGGGACAGTCAGGTGGCTACAGCTGCAGTCTTTGTCCTATGAGTAATTAGATAAAGCTTTCTTCTTGACTAGCTCCCCAGGAGTATTACCTTTGCTTATCTGTTCTGTGATGCCCTTTCAAACTTGTAGATACAGACGTAACAGTTCATAGTGGAGATGAAATGCAGGGCCCTTGTCATTCAGAACACAAACTTCTAATGCATGGGATAAAAGAATAACTCTGGCAGCTGTGAGTAAGTAGAGGAAATTTTTAGCAATCCCAAGGGAGAAATGCAGTAATATGCACCAGAGAGCTGATTAACCAGATACTTTGAAATTGATTAGTGCCATTTTTAGATTCCAGACTAGGAAATCATATAGGATTCCTGTGATCCTCAAAGGGTTTTTTTAAAATTCTGTATATAACATGATCTAAGATTTGCAATTGGTGATAATTGGCAATGTTTATGTTTTCAGAAGAGCAAACTTAATGCTCATACACAGTTGAGTTACTAAAAGCACATATTGTGTGCTTGGATGTACAAGCAGACTTTTAGAAAGGTAATTCATGTAGGCAACTGTGTATGTTTGGGAGCTGAGTCATGGCGCTTACTCATGTCTTTTTATACACCTACCTCATACCTCTTCCTTACAATGTAGTCTTGTTTTAGCATGTTAATTTTAGCAGATATGAAAAACTATCTAAGAGAATATCCATGTTATACATGATTTCATTTTAGCAGCATCTTTCCAGAACATTAAAATAACTTACATACTAAAATAATATTATATTTTTGTGTCCACCCAAACGCAGTTCCTTAATCAAGACCCATAATGTAAAATACACACAATGCTGCAGTACAATCATCAGTAACGTGTAAGAACTTTGTGTTCTTCCTGATGAGCTTCTCCAGCTTAGTGTAAAGATAGGTCTGTAGTGCATGACTTTGTGAGGCAAATTCTAAACCAAATTAAACGCATCATGTAAGCTATTTTCTGCAGTTATGTTAGTAGCATATAAGTAGAATATTCCTTCAGTAGACTCATGCAAATGATGAAGAATGATTTATTTTTTAAAACTTATTTTTTCCCTTTGATTCCAAAATTTGCAATGAAAGTTGTTTAAAACTTCAGCATTTAGTTTCTGTTTCAAATCTGGATTTAGTTCTCCTATGCAGTGTGTTTTTTAGATACTATCTTCACAGTGTGAAATTATTTTTAATTTGATTGTGTGCTGACTATGTTATTTGCTTTCAGTTCTTAGATGTAAATAACAATTTGCTCCTATAAAACTAGTCCTTAGGTAAACCTTTGGTGTGGCCATTTGTATTCCTTGCTTATTAACGTTTTTATTTTATTCTTATGATTAAAAATGTTGTGCATGGTAGCAGTTAAATGTCGGTTAAGAAGGGAGCTCTGACATTGAGATACGTGGCATGACTGAAGTAGCAATATTCTCTGTCACTGGCATTTCAATCCTGCTGCAAATTGTAGTGATAGCTTCATCATACAACACAGATTCACATGAAGCACAAGCAGTGCCATCTGCTGTGCCAAAGTCATCCTAAGTATTAGTCCATCCACTTGATTGGAGTTCTATGTAAGAGAAGTTCGGCTGTCTAGGTTTTGAGCATTAAAACAGATAAATGGTTTCATTTGGCAGCCAGGAAAAAAAAATTAGTCAATCTGATGTGACTCCAGAATCTTAAAAATCAGCGACTGGTTACAGATCTAGTCAACAAAACAAAGTGGCACTAAAATACACTTTTTAAGCTTTGTATGCCTATGTTAAAGAATGCTTTCATGGAAACCTTATGACATACAGCCTGTTTTTAGAACTTTAAATCCTCATGACGCTTCCAGGATGGCTGTGTATGCCATGCAGTGTGATTCATAAATAAAATTAACCTAAGAGTGATGTGCCAAACAGTTTGGAAAAATGTAGGCACCTCTGAGCTTGAGAAAATAAGGAGTGCTTGCCTCATGGAAAGAGGTGACTATCATACCTATCATTACTCATAAAGAAACAGAGCTATACAAGGAAGCATGGGAAGGAGCAAATATGCTATGCATGACTCTTAAATACTTATTCCTTACCTGCATTATAGTCAGTAATCTAACAGTAATTGTAGTAGTGCTCTTTAGATGTGAACTAATGTTTGCGCCAGCTGCAGGCCCTTATACCATAGTATCAGTCTTTCTTAGTCTCTTCTGTGTCACTGCATTCAATTGATGATACTGAAAAAGGCTAACATTTAATTGAGACTATCTATCTAGAAAGAAGTCTCAACGGGCTTCCTCTACCATAATAGCTCATTAGATTAACCTGAGTTATCTTAAAAGTAATTGGATGTGTCTATCTGGATTAATTCAGGAAGGTTTTAGCTTTCTGTACAGAGGTACTTCCAGTTTCCAGTTTCTCCTCTTGCTCCTCCATCCAATTTTCTGCCCCTTCGTGAGCTCTTATGCACTAGTTAGCTACCCACCAAGCCTGTAAGTTATACTGCTCTATCACTGCCAATGATATTTTGACCCTGATCTATCCTGAAAGGAACTTACAGTTTTTATGTCATCCACTTGGTTTTGTACTGTTGTGCTTTCAAATGTGATATCTGAATGTTCATTATACTTTCTAGTCCTATCCATTCTTGTGATCAGCTTCTCTCTAAATCTCCTCTCTCTGATTTCCTCCCTCATAATTACCATTACAGTTTAACTACATGATTTCTACAAGTGGTGACTGAGAAATAACATCATAGAACTTGCTGAATCTTCTTGTTTCACACTGCTCTGGGTTCCCAAAATACCACTACAACATTATAAGTGTAAACGTTACAAGCTTTATGAGTAACTTGGGATTCATTTTTGTGATTCAGAAGTCCAGTGTAAGTCCCAGGACGCAAGCAAATATGAAATAGCACGAGTGTCCAAGGAATACTTATTTGTGGGCCTTCAGCTAGATGGAGGAAAGAAGAAATCATGCTTCAGAAACAGCCACCGTTTAGCTTTCTCTCATCAATTTGCCACCTTGGCTAACTACTGAATTCCTGAGTCTAATGATTTTTGTATGTCTGGCTATCTGGCTATCTATCTATTGGAATTCTTCTCTTCTTGCACAGCTTCATGCATACCAAACTAATTCACCACAAACCTCAGAAAACTGTAACTCCAAAAGCAGGGCAGTTGCCAGCTGTGAGCACAGCTCCACAAATTCCACAGCTATGGCCAACAAGAAGCTTTCATCACTGTTTTGGGAGCTCTACACAGCAGATTAAAGATGAGCACTATTTTTAGTGAAGAAACATGCATTCAGAGTCTTGGTGATTAATGGAACACATACCCCAGAATTTGTTACATTTTCTGTTTTCCTCTTGTGGCAGTGATTAAAAAGGCTATGATGAGGGAAAGCACATGAATATGTATTACTCATGCAAATGACTTTTTTACACTCATTCTTTGCGTAACTCCTACGCATGGGTGGAGTTGAAAGAATCCTGGATGAACAGGACAAATCGTGATAACAGATGATTATGATCAGCTAACATTCCCAGCTTTCTCCCAGCTGACAACACATTCATACACACACAGACAAAAAGGGAACGTTTATACTTGCAACCTTTTGTGGTAAATTTTTAATTTCGTAGTTTGAATTATGAAACTGTGAAGTGAAGCCTGATGTTTTTCTTGAGCTTGGCTGCTTGGGACTTGCCTTCTCTATGGGATTTTTTTCTTCATGTCTCTATTTACCTTGGCCTTGGGATTTCAGCATGTGAGTGGGTAGTTCCAAAGTAACCTCTGTTTTTTGTCACACACTCAAACCCTCATGCCCTAACATGCTGCACTGAATGCAAGGTACCTTCCCTTCTGTCACTTCACAGTAGGAGCATTCAGTACAGCAGTTAATGCAACTGGTAGATAAATGCTTTGTATTCTCCAGTAACTTGTCTGTGTGTCCACGTCCCTAGGAAGGTATTCCTTCCCTTCTGAGCTTCTCTATTCTTCAAAAACCCTTCTTACAAGCAAGAGCCAGTAAACCATGTACACACTTGTGATGGAGAAGTCCAATGCCTGACAGCAGTGTTTTATCCTTGGACAACTCTGACAGATACCTGTTCTATGAAAATGTAACAGCTCCCATATTGACTGTAATGCACTTACGTAGATTATTATTTAAAATAAAATTAAACATTGAAACAAATTTCAATGGAAAACCTTATGTTTTAATGGGACAAAAATTCAATTCCATGGAATTTAATGGTAACTGAGTCAGGGCAGGCATACTGCAGGTACATGGGTACTCCATAGGATGAGTCACTGTTCTTGGATTCTTTGATTTGCCCTTGTGAGGTTTCAGTAACTTTATAGTGTCAGCTTCTAATTCAGATACTTGTTTAACACCCAAACTTAGAAGGCATGAATACCTTTTCATTTTTATGTATGTATCAAAGACATGACTATAACATCCTTTTCAAAGGATGATTTTGTGGCTTTCTGGAGAAACACTCACTAATACTGTGCATCAAAGCATGTGGCCATAAACAAGTAAATTGGTGTTCACCTTTAAATACAAGAAAAACTGGATTGGGTTTGGATACATGTTTATATGCATAAGAGAAAATTTTCTTTATTCTCTTTGTATTATAAGTTATGAATGAGAGAAGAAAAAGAAATTGTTGCTTATGTCCATGGATCCAAGAGGCATTTTTAATATCAAAAAGATTTGTCAAGGCAAGTGCTCAGATAAGTCTCAAAGCCTTTACAATTGATGTATTCAGAAAGGCATGCCAATATCTAGGGAATTATATTTCCTGTCTATTTTCTGGCACTGTTTTCTTCTTTGCTCAGACTACTCCCTGTACTTAAGGGCTGAATGCATGAACTCCACCATAAGTATGCCTCAAAAGGTTTGTTTCAGCAGTCACTTTGGACAGAAAGTGTATTCTTCCCAAACAAGTTATTTCTTCAACTTCAGCTCAGATACCTCTTTTTAAAACCAAACCATTGAGTCTTTCCTATTACTGTCAAAGGCAAGAGAAACTATGTGGTACCATGTGTCAAAGTTGTGTTAGGTACTGGGAACCTACATAATTTTTATGAAGGCATGAGTGGGGTAGAATGATGCTAGTCACAGTTCAGGGATCCTACAGATATCGTAGCTTTTCTTCATGACGAGACTGTCTATAACTAAAGACAGGTGAATACAGGAGGACTTATTTGTACATCTTTGTTCTTATATACTCAATTATGTGTTGTAAAATATTCTTTCTTCTGAAAAATAGTATCTGATGTGCCAGAATACCAAGAGAGTGAAAGACAAGGATTGTTTACTGCAGAAATCTTTGGAAGCATCTTTGTAAAATTAAATATTTTTCATTTGATAATGTTGCATATTAGTTTGGTGGGAAAGACGATAATAGCGCTGACTGCAGCAGTGCTGCATCCAGAGTTGTCTGAGTATATTAGGAAGACAAGGACTGTTGTAATGAGCTGACAATTGGAGAATGTGGGCCATCTGTGAAACTCACAGCCCCTCAATTACATGCTGAACACAAACAGTTCTTTTCAGTGTTTAGAAAAATGACACAACTCTAGAATGCCCATAAAGGAATCTATTTCTGATACAGCAGACACTAGCTTGCAAATAAGTATTGTGCTTCTCTAGAAAGTGGATCGAATTTTCCTTAATGTTGTATTTATAGTCCCAACAAAGGAAATGTGATTCCACCAATGTCACTGAGGGGTAAATTTGGCTAATTATCTCTATGAGAACAAATTCAGATTTCAAAACACTGAGACTGAGAATTTTCAAGGAAACTTTAAAATGCATAGTAATCTATTTCTCATTTCATTTATGACATTGATGAGTAAAATGCAGCTCTTTCACACTTCCTTTCACCTTAAATGATCTTTGCAAATGTTACCTATTTAACCTTCAAAATTCTCATAGATAAAGGTGAAAACTAAGTGGTCAGATTTAGCAGGCTAGTCATCCAATATGGATAAGTGTCAATTAATGCGTCCTGCTCTTGATAGAATAGATCTGATTTTTCTGAGCTCATGGCAGAATTTTGTTAGAATCTGACTTAGAACTGAGATGCTGATAGTTGTATAATAACTCAGTTGCATTCCTTTCTTTTCTGTTCGTTTATGGAAGGCTTTGACATATAGGAAATTGTTTGCTCATAGAACCATAGAATGATTTGGATTAGAAGGGAACTCTGAGATCATGTATTTCCAACCCCCTGCTATAGGCAGGGACACGTCCACTAGACCAAGTTGCTCACAGCTCCATCCAGACTGGGCTTGGATGCCTCCAGGGAGGTGGCCACAAGACCCCTCTGGGTAACTGTTCCATTGTCTCACCACCCGCATGGTAAAGAACTTCTTCCTATGGTCCAGTCTACCCTCTTCCAGACTAAAGCACTTGATCTCAGATCAGTTAGTGGTGTTTTTATTAGCCAGTTTACATGATCAGCCTTGTTTTCTGTTAATTTCTCACTCAGAAGTTAGTATTTCTTTCTATTGTGGAAATACAATATTTAAAAACAGTTCTATTAAACTCTAAGAAAATAATATGCCCAAGAATGCATCGCCTTAAAATGTAACTATTCTTTGTTATGATTTAAAGAAAGCATTTCTTCATTGTAATCAATTTCAATAATGAAGATTAAGGGACTTCTGCTACAGATTCCTGGAGTATATGCATTAAAATATCTGAAAAGAATAAGGCATACACCTACTGTTACAGATATACAAAATGACAACATGTTTACGCAGAATGTGTTTACCTGACTTCAGGTGTGGGGATTCCTACTACAATGCAGTCCAATTGCACTTTGGTTCCTTCAGGAACTTCCCTGCTCTTCAGTTTTTGAGTGAAGCGTGGTGGCTGTCCAATAGGCTCATCAGAATATGCAGATTCTAACTCTGTTTTTAGTTCCGCACTTGTCAGTTGGTTGATAGATTCCAAGTTTTCTGCTAGTTGATCATCTATTTTCTCAAATGTTTCTTCTGATTTGTTTTCCAAGTCTAGAGGTAGCGGAATGGAAAGCCTCTCTCTGTTTTCTGATGTACCGGAGAGACTAGAGCTAGCTTTTTGAGCAGACTTGCTCTTAGAATCAATTTTGCTCCTGTAATTTTTGCAGGTTCGGGGTCTTATTCTTTCAGAGTTGTGAGCTTTGAAAAGTGAAGAAAGTTCCTCAATAAAATCTGCTGCCTTGTTTAGGAATTCCTTCTTTGATTCTGATTCAGAAGGAAGGTGTTTCTTTAGACCTTGAGGGCTCCCTTTGGAACCTTTTATATCTGTGGCACGGTCCTGGCAAAAGTTTGCAGGCAGGCCATTGTCTGACGTTTTTAAAGCTGTAGAGTGGGCCATTTGTCTGTTTTTTCCAGTGTTTTTCAGTTGATCTGGGAGATGAAGCTCATCCTGTTTAGCTTCCAGTGGATTCTGATCAATAGCTTGTCTTGCTAGGTTTACACTTTCATTTAACTCTTCTTGACTCAAAAAGGCAGAGAGATCTGGAAGGTCATCTTGGGCAGCTACCTCATCTGAATCACCAGAGCTGTTGCCGTAAAGGAAGTTATGTGAAGTTGGTTCTGATCTGCTTCTTTCACTGTTCCCTTGATGTTTAGTTTCAGCTAAATAACTTTCTCTCAGAAGTTGAGATATTGAAGTTGAGGATTCTAAACTGTCGTCTTGCATGCTGCCAATAAAAAAGGACAAATAGGACCACCTTAACAATAGCAAATTTGTCAATCGCACAGAATCTGAAAAGCAGAACACGTTTTCAAAGTGCAACTGTTTTCTGGATATTAACTGGCCTTGTTTTAAAGGCCTGTTTTAGTACATGCTGCCAGATACTATCACCTGTGCACAGAGGAATTCATCGTTTATAACTTTCTACCATGGTAGCCTTGAATTGCTATTGTATTGCTTGATAATTTATACGCTGTTCCAGGCAAAACTTCAATTATAGAGTTATTGACTAAGTTTCAGTGCCAAATCTTTCACACTGCTGATGTGTGAGCTTAGAAACAACCTCATCAGATAGATTAAATGGCTGGCTATTTCAAGGACTGAGAGTTGTGGAGGAACAACAGTACTTTTAAATTAAGTTTAATTTTAGCTTTAAAGACACTGAAGTAGTAAGTAAATGAATCCTCAAAAAACGTTTGAGGGATGAGGGGAAGGAAGATGGAGGGGAGAGAGGAACAAATATATTCTATAATGACAATTTTTCATTTAAAATTCTTAAACATATTGCATTATAGGAAACAATAATGATGTTAAATGTCCTATGCCTTCTTAAATTAAACATTGTTTCTAATAAGCTATCTATTTCAAGTAAAGTAGAGAATTTTGTCGTTATTCAGTACAAACATAATTTGTACCATGGGTTTTTAAAATCATTATCTTAGGTCATCCTTTTCAAAATCATCAGATTTTGAAAAAAAATGTACCACAGATGAGAAGATGAAGTCCATTTTTAACCTGCATTCCTGATAAGTAAAGCTAAGTTATTCCTTTTAGTACCTAATTCAGTTCTTCTGCATATTATACTCCTTATTTATGTAAGAGCAATTTTAAATGTAGAGTGATTCAGATATCTTCTTAATGTGCTAATCTTAAGGTTGCTTAAATATGGAGAAAAATATATATGTTCACAACCTTTCAGAGCTGATATCTCAAAAAGCTGAAACAAATGCATGAGTTTTTGCAGAATCTGTCTCTCAGAACATGGGCAGTGCACGATATCTCTTTCAGGATCTCTTCATCTATGGCCTGGCAAGACTTGCTGTGGTGCTTTCTAATACTCCTACTCCAAGGTATCTGCTTTGTCACACTGCAGGTTCTGTTGCTGTAGTGGCATCAAGAAATGGAATTGTGTATGCACTTCCTCAGCCATTCCCAGTCATAGCCTTATGGGACAACCTAAGCTACCAGTGAAAGAGAAGTAATAAAGGTATCTCTGTTGTAAAAGGCTTTCTGTTCTGTTAGAGGAACAGTTCTCCCTGGAAAAGGAATGGTAAAAAGCAAATGAGATTGTAACATCTTGTACTGATATAGTATCTGTTCCAGGACAATGAAAAATAGCCCTTCCTTATTTATAAAAAGGAAAGCTTCTATTTACACTTCTTATGTAAATGGATACACTTCATCGGTGAATGATCATAAAGCTATCGTATTCTGATGTGTGTTTTGAGACCTAAATCCCTCTGGCTGATGCACAATTTGTTGTGATGAAGTTCTATTTCCTATGTAAATATTTAACATTTTAGTTTGTATTGATTTCATTATTTGGTAATATGAAACAATAAAACTCAGTAAGACAATAAAGGCACCTGATCATATTGATAAGTTTGTGCCTATAGGAAAAACTACAATTCAAATACTGTATAAATTATATACTTCTAAATAACGCATCTGGTCCCCAGTGCAAATTGCAGCTGTAAAGCAACACCTGCCTCACTCTTGCAACTGAGCCAGGGTCTGCAACACTGCTCAAATGCTTGGTGTTAGATTATCTGACACAGTAGTGAAGTGAAGCTGTGGTGCATAAGAGAACATTGATTTGGGAAAGCCACGTGAGGTAATGCTATAAGCTGCTTCATGACTGGATAGAGTATGTAATATAACCTCATCGGAGAACAAAGAGGTTTCCCTAAGGCATACAGTTCCAGTTCTACGGGCACCACTTTTGCTTGCTCAGCTTTTACTTTTTAAACAGCTGTGCAACCTTACTGTAGCTGAATGTTTTTAAAGGGCTGTATTGCGTTGTTTATATGCTGATTGCACACTCCGTACTGTAAAGGTCAAAGCTAAATCTATGGTTTCAGCTCTGAAGTGTTTAAATACCTTCTAACGTAAGGAGTTCATAGCTTGGGAGGCAAACCTTGCTTGCACATGAATGAACTGTAGACATAGAGCTTAGCTGTGATGAAGGACCAAATTGGCTTTTGAACTGCTTCCCATGTACTACCTTCTACTTAAAAACAGAGGGAAAGAAACAGAGTCATAGCCAGCTCTTTTCTCTGCACTATACAGCTGTTTTAGCCTGAAAAAAAAAGAGAGCAGTGTGTACTTCTAGGAGAGTGTCATAGGAAGTACACTCTACATTCCTCTGGAAGGACACAGCTCCGCACTAACCTCTATGCATGGCAGTGGCTGAATGGGAACATCTAGCTGTAGGTATCTTTGTGTACTTTTAGATGCTGCAGCTGAAGGTTGTATTTTATGAGGCTGAAGAGGTATAATGTAAGTGCAAAATTTAGCTTGCGAGTTTTCTTGGCTGAAACATTTCAGAATGGCATGTTGTACTTTGATCTCCAGAGTCTGTAAATGTCATCAGAGCTGAGGAAGGGCTATGCAGTTCCTTAGAGAACAGTGGAAAGTCTACAGAGAAAATGCAAATGTGTGATCAAAACCTGCTGAAATCAAGTAAAAAACTTCTGCATTAATATTATTGATTGAGTTTATAAAAATCATCTGTCTACACAGGGTTTCATTTTCCTCTGCTGTAAAGATATTGCTTTAATTAATTTTTCATGTAGGGGTTATGTCTATTTCAACATAGGTTGTTAAGCACAGTGCAGCTTTTCTGCACTTAGCCATAGTAAAGCAACTGTTTGCTCTGTACAGTTGAGACTTTGTTTTGAGTCTTGTATGTCTCCTATTCATCTTTTGAACAATGCACTGAAACATGAAATAGTTTCTGCTAATTTTCTTAAGGACTGTTACTGCAGCATGGGGGGACACTCTCAAAGCAGGTGTCTTTGGTTTGGAAAAATAGTTTTATAATTCAAGATTGTGAAAAAGAATAGTGAATAAGCAAGTGTCTGATAGCCAAAGGAGGGAAAAGACATGTAAATTACTGCAAAATAACAAAATTGTGAATGCTTGTAGCTGACAAAAATATAAAATGATAAAGGAAATGAAAGTGATCAAATAAAAACCTCCCTACACTGATGTCTCGTTTTGACTAGTAGTAAAAAATTGGACAAAGCATCTTCTGTTCACATGATCAGGCTAGACTGTGCAGCCATATGTGGCAGAGCAAAATCATTTGTCTGTTTGTCTGTCACAGTTCTGAGAGGACATGTAGGAAGTAAATGAACAAATCACTGTTTCAAACTTGTCTCTGCCCATCTGAGGACAGATATGAGTGGAAGAAAACAAACAGTTCTCCATGAAATCAGCTGGAACAACTTCCTTATATCCATTGGAACAGGGGTAGAAAAGAGCAGATTGTTCTTTCTGGTGGTGGGAAGCAAGATATTGATGAAAACAAATCTGATGCCAAATTCTTAGTGCTTAGAGAGTCTTGGTGGTAGGTTTTGTGGGTTTTTTTTGTTTTTTTTTGTTTTGTTTTTTAGCTCACTCAGAGTCAGAATATAACTAACTCTATTTTCAGCTTGTGTGGAAGACAATTTTAAATTCTATTTTTAGTAAGGGAGAAGTTGGGTACTAATCAAATTAGCACCTTAAAGCAGTGCTTTGCTACCTGAAGTTTTAAGACATTTTGAATGATGTGATATTTCTAATGTTGCTGTGAGACTCACAGACAATACAGTTACAAGCATGCTATACAAGATGCCCAGTTTCTGTCCTTCCCACCCCAAAAGGAGTTATTCTCTTCAAGCACTACAGAAGTCTGATGGTGGAAAGAAGCACTGGGTAGGCTGAGGCCATTCAGATTTCACAGTTGATGGAAACTGGCTTTGTTTGAAACGAGCCAAGCATACAGCCTGACAAGGTTTGGGGGCCAGATAGCAATAAGGCCAAATTCAATACATTTTCTAAAATACATATGTGAACTGTCTTTCCAGTGAGCAAAAATATATAACCAGAAGAAAACTATGCTATTACAGGTTTGATTAATACAAGAATAATTCAGACCTTATATAGTCAAAATAGGTATTTAAGCTCCAAAGTTAAGACTTGGGCTTGAATCCAGTCTTTCTCTTTCCTGGACTGTTTGTATTGTTTAGATTTTGATGTTTTTATGTTTTGATGTGAACTGGCCTCAATAGGCCGCGAGCCTTCCCTTTAATTTTTCCTAATTGGGCTTTGAGACAAAAGTGTCTTTGTGACTACATAAAAATCATCCCATACTCCCCCAGCAGTGGCACAGATTGCTAGGAGTGAGTCAGTGCATGGCATATGTCTGCAATATCACAGGGCAAGCAACAAGTACACCATAACTGCAAGTATCTATCTTGAGCTGTAAAGAATCATCAGTAGGGAAGACAGACATTAGTACAAATAGAGTAAGCAATAATCTGTAGTGTCAATGAAAGCTCTAAGAATTTTGCAAACTGGAAAAATGTCTCTATTTATGAACTGCTATCAAGGGGAGGAATTGCAATGTTTAGTTTTGAATAGTAGTGAATAATAGTTATGAATAACTTAGGATTGAAAATGGGATGACTGACTTCAGCAGTCAGCAGTTCTCCAGTTTTAACTGGTTCGTTACCTACAGCAGTAAACAAATACACAGGGGGCAGCTTCTTTTGCTTTTCCAGGACACTTACAGCCGTGACACTGGGCACCTTGAAAGGCCTTGGAGAATGTCATGAACAAAACGGACTGCATAAACTGGCTGCGTCTACTTCTGCGGTTCACTAAATCAGATTCCATGAGAAAACTAACTGCATAAGCTTTCAGATTTTCTATGAGCCTACACAGAACATTTACAGCAATGTTCTTTTATTAGCCAAGTGGTCTTTGTGATAAAATACGCACAGAGGTAGAACTAGATTCCAAAGATTATTTAGGCAATAGTTTAACTAGAAAATCATTGTATGGAAGGCAGGAAAATCACTCCAGGGAGCTTGTGCGGTGGAATGCTGTACCCTTTCATTTCCTACTGCTGAGTCATCACTAAAAGAATTGAAGCTTTTTCCTAAGAAAATAGTGGCACTGAAATCTAAGCAAAACTGAAAGGAATCACAGGTGTATCTGAGTGCATGTCCTGTAGTTTGTTTGGCTCGAAATGGTATTGAATGCTTACTGCCCTAAAGATGTCCTTTTCAAACACTCCTTCACTTATCATAAAATCATAGAGCTGCAGAATGGTTTGGGTTGGAAGGAACCGCAAAGCCCACCCAGCCCTAATCCCTGCCATGGGCTGGCTGCCCCCCAGCAGCTCAGGCTGCCCAGGGCCCCATCCGTGGCACTGTGCACCTCCAGAGATGGCATACCCACAGCTCTGGGCAGCAGTGCCAGCGCCTCACTGTCCTCTGAGTGAAGAATTTCCTCCTAATGTCTAACCTAAATCTCCTTTTTTAATTTTTTTTAGATAAAGCCGTTCCCCCTTGTCCTGTCACTATCTGCCCAGTATAAAGCCTGTTCCCCTCATGCTTCTCACTTGGCTGTTGCCTTTGTCACCATTTCCGGTTGCTGTCTGTTGATGTGCGATGATAGCTGCTGGAGGACAGATAGAGACTCTACAATATTAAAGGTTAGGCTGGAACTGAGGAGTGGAACAAGATTAGCAGTCGTGTGTGTTTGGGGATGTGAGAATAAAGTACTTTTAATCACTGCATTTAGAAAGCTGTGTACAAGAAGGTGATTTATTTTTCTGTTTTAGACACATTAGTAGTTTTGCATTCCATTCCTTGTAATGAATCAAGTAAGTGAAGGGGTTGTAGTTAAATAATGGAAAATGAAGAGAGATCTTCTATGCCTAAGCTTCTGACAAAAATAAAAACACCTGAAAACAAGCATGCTACAGGTCTGTGTTTCAGAAATATTCTACTTCATGTGTATTTCTGAGCAGCCTGTATATTCTTAGTATTCCTTAATATTCAAAGAATATTTTTTCTTCCATTTAATAATTTCCAGATCTTAAAGCTTCATCTGATCTCAAGTTGAAAGAGGCTGGTGGCTTTATACTGCTCATTGTAACATTAATTTGCTAACAGGTGTGGTGTTAACAAATATCTTCACATATTGCTGCACTTGGCTTTCATGTAAATATCGATGGTTTAAAGAATGTTTAGTTATAGCTGATGTATTGGTACTACTGATTCTGCTCAATAAAGGAGCAGTGTCAGGCTCCCTTCTGTAAATAGCACTTGGATAGGCCAGCTTCTCCCTTGATACATTGCAGCACAAATCTGGACTGACTTGTGAGAGGTGAAATGTGTTGTATTTTGTCCCTAATTTCTCTTCCTTTTCTTACTGATAGCATAATTGCACAGCTCACAAAAGAAAAAAATGGAATTTATCAACTTAGAAATGAGATGAGATAACCTAACCCTAATCCCACCTCCAAATAGTTCTGCAGAAGACACTCCAATAGGCCTATGTGCACTTGGACTCATGCCCTTGAATACTTTTTCACCTGACCCATGACCTCAGTGCTGCAGCAGTGGGCACTCTGCACAGTAAAATAACCATCTCTTCTTCACATAAAAAGCACAGGCAAAAACTTCTAACTTTGTCAACATTTCCTTCATACTATCATAATGAAAGAAACGGGTTTTTTTTACTCTGATCACAAATATGTTTGTATATATATACGTATATATATTCACAGAATCATCATACAAGTAGTTCTCATAATGAGAACATAGATCCATTTTTAAACAATGCCTCAAATTCTCTTGCTCCTTAGTGAATCTATCTGAACTACAAGGTTAAACAATACCTTTGTTAGACTCCATGCAAAGTCAAGTTGAAACTGAAAGAAACTGCATCTGATTTTTAAATTAGAAGGTCGAAAAGAAAAAGAGATGAAGGTAGTCTTTGAGGACAGCCTGGGATCTTCCTCTCCCACTGACCTGTGAAGGCAGGGCCACAGCTGCTAGGACAAGCTCTGATTGTGGTACTTCAAATGCCAGTAATACAGGACAAGTTTTTATTAAGTATGCAACCCAGATTCCTTCAGAGATTGCCCATGTGAGAAATGGTCTATACAAAAGACAGAGCAGAAGTCCATAGTTTGGTGCTGAATGTGCTTGCAAAGGTCCACAATGGAAAATACAACAAACAGGCGACAGTATTCTTTTATCCGGGTCCAGACAGTCACACTGCACTGCAAGCCTTTCATAGCTAAAACTGCAAATCCACTTTCACGGACAGTGACCCCAATGATTTAAAGTAGGTCATTTCTATTATTCCTGCTATCAATATGTGTAAGCAGTGCAAAAATCCAGAAATGCATGAGGCTGAGGGCTACTGCCCCCAGTTTTATTTTGGCTCTGATAGTTAGTAAGTGATTTGAGTACTGCATAGCCTCACTCTACTCTGACAAAATACAACACTCCATAAGATGACTGTAATGAGAATTTGCACAACTTAAATGCTGAGCAGATTTCTCTATTCTACCCATGCGTGTAAGCAGCACTGATGTCAAAGGAATTGTGCACATGTATCTGAAGACAAGACAAATGATTGCTTGTGTAGCCAGCCTGAATAAGCACAAACTGGACAAAGAAAAGCCTTGAAAAGCAATGGTATGCAAACAAAATACATGTGCCTTTGCACATCTATTTGTCTGGTGATTTCAAATCTATCGGCTGTTTTGTTTTTAGGATGTCATTCAGTTTTCAGATAAATATTGGCTCCTAGTGAAAAAGGGAACTAAAGTCCTAAATGAGGCACAAAAGAAATCCGGTTGTAGTTTTTCTAACAAGGCCCAGTTGTGCCTTTTTTTTTTTCAAACTGTCATTGTATTTTTTATCTGCTGTTCTGTCCTTTTATGTTTTTTCACCAGACAGAGCATTGTAACATAAAAACTTCCACTTTTCAATCATAATTATATACTATTATGCTTTAAATGAGACTTTAGTGGAACAATTTGCCCATACTCATAGAATATTATTGTTTATGAAAACAAGTACACCAAAGTAAACTTTTTTTTGGCCAGTTAATTTGATGCCAATTTAGGGTGTACTGTCCAACTGCTCTTATAGTTCTGTGTACATTTTTAACAAGTCACCTTAATCTTATATTTATTTACAAACACAACTAGATATCAAATTCTTAGTAGCTGTTGATAAGAAACAGCTTCTGCAGTAGCACAGCAAGACATATTGTAAAATCTCCAGAGAATGAATACAAGTAGCAAAACAGCACAGAATGCATTTCTTTCTCCATGATAGTCCACCACATATAAAACCTATCTCCTCAATTGACTATAAATGTAGTCAAATATACTGCTTTCATACTGCTCAGCTGTGGGAACTAATATGCTTCTTATTGTTCAATTTTGTAGCCTTTTCAGAAAAAAAAAAAAAAAAGGTCTACAAAGAAACCCAGAAAAATTAAGAAGGAAATATTCTGACCTTAGAAACCTTCAGGGGATATAGGAGTGGGAGAAGAGCAGTGCTGACATTTGTGAAATTGTTCCATTAACACTTGCTGATTTTGTTTCCGCTCTTAAACCCTTAGAGCGTCTTCACAAATGTAAACCTCATGACCAAAACAAAACTGTTGATAAAGTAACCAGTATCTTTAACATGATTTGTATAATTTTCTGCTGGCGTAAACTGGAGCTAATCTGCTGTCTTCTCCATTGTTGGCATATTATTTTGTAAAACTCAAGATGGGCTTCTGATTACTGCTTAATGTTGCAATATATTGAGCCAAACATTTGCTACTGACAGTCAAATACTCTCTGAGAGAGAAAGAGTGCAGGAGAGATAGTCAGAGCTCAAGGGGGAGAGCTATGCCCTTCTAGCAGGACTGTTTCTGCAGCTGTTGTGTACATTAATCCAGAGAGCAGATCTCCCAGCACTAAATATAGCCAGCGGGGTCATTTTACAGGACAAAATAAATAAATAAATAGAGAAATAAATAAATAAATAAATAAATAAAGTTTTTCACTATGGTCATGCTAAATTAGGTTTGATTTTGTTTAAGAAGGAAACCCACGTTATGGCATCTCAGTTTAAGGCTGAACAGCAGATTGTAAACATTTCAGAGAGTGGAAGGAAAAAAGGCTGAAAGAAGAATACTGTCCCGGCAATGAACTTTTCAGGTCACTATTATCTTCCGTTGACTCTGGAGGAGTCAGACTGGCTCCAAGGGATTTTGAGAACCCCACCAATGCTATTCAAGCCCTTTATAATGCTGCAGAACATTGTTTCTCTTTCACTGTAATACACACGTCTCAGCGTAATTTAAGTCCGTCAGTTTAAAAATGATTTGTTCCCTGTATATGTCTTATCAGCAATAACTAGCATTTAAAGATACATGCTCATCAAACCCCTCTGCACCTGTGCTGCAAAATCAAAATGCAGACCAATCTAAAGTTGAAGCATTACCTTTTTAAATTCCTCCAGGTGTTGCTGCCCAATGCTGGCAGTTAGTAGCGATGACAATTATCCACGAGTGTGAGATTAAAGGTAAGGAAGCAAGGGAATTCTTCCAGTCCTCAGGAACACAAACAGCTAGCAGTCCATACAGTGAAAGAAGTTAACCTTCGTTGTTACGAGGATGGCTGTAAGAAGCTGGACAACCTGTCACCACCGGAGCAATAGCATTTGTCAGTTGCAGGTCCCAAGTTATTTTGAGCAGCGTAAACCATGTGCCTGCAGAGCATTCCACCTCATTGGACAGGAGAATATTGAGCACAGGGAATCCACTGCTCCGACAGCACCTATGGGCACCGAGTGCCTTCTCCTCACCCATGAAACAGACCCTACAGATGCTTACATACATTTTGCAGATGCATCCAAGAGGCACTTGTCATCTGGTTTATACTTCAGCCTTTTAGGATTATTTATTACTGCTGCTGTCTTTACAATTTGATCAGAACTTGAAGATTATTGTCACTGGGAAACACATTAGTGAGTTACAATATAAAAGTTCTGCAACTCCAAATGCAAACTCAGCAAATGTGATTTAATAGTAGAATATTTCTGACTTCTTTAAGTGTTTAATTTAATAAACACGTAGAACAACTATGCAGAATTCCTTGAGGATGGCCTATAACTACAAATCCTAAAAATACTGTTTCTAAACTTGTTATTGAGTGCACAGAAATAAACTCCTGAGGGAAAAGTAATTAAAGAAGACAAATGAAACTTGGCTTTAAATGAAACAGAGATGTGGAAGAATTTCAAAATGTTTTAAGCAGTACGAAGAATGTAGTTTACAAAACTGAGCTACCAGTTAAAACCATGAGTGACTAACACCTGCCACATCAAAAGGAAAATGCAGAGTACTTTTTCTTTTTACTGATCATCTTAGACAGCAGCAGCAGCAGCAATAATAGAATCTGAGATTTTACATCATTCAGCTTACAAAAAATGCTGCTTGATTGTTGGTATAATACTGAAAATTCTCATTACAACACTAGTTTTAAAATGTTAATAAAATGATGTGCACATATTATGAAGAGTTGAATTATAGCCATTTTGACAACTAGTGATGTAACTAACAGGCTGTCTGATCTTCCCTCGTTCTCCCAAGGGAGCGTTACCAAGTGAGCTCTTTTGCCAGAAAAGGGATTCTCCCGTGGTTCTTCGGAGAGGTGTTTTATGAGGTGTAGCAATATGAACAATCAGAGGTAAAGGCAGTTCTCTTCTGAAAATTTTCCTTGGTGCACTGCAGGTGGTTATCTTTTGTTTCTCTCTTTTTGTAAATACCATTGTCAGAACAGCTTGTGAACCTCATCCCGTGATGTGGTTTCTTCAGGGATATGGAAGAATTGCATCCTTGAAGTCAGATCTTCTTTTGGGGACAAGATAGACATTTTATGGGTTCAGTGATGTCTAAGATAACGCTATACCTGGATCAGAGACCTAATGTATTCTTTTATAATGTCTGTAATAGTAGATGTGATCCACAGAGTGCTGACAGGAACTGCACATGGATACAGTACTGCATACTACTGTGGCTTGAACATTAAATTATCTGTACATGAAAGCTACAAAGTCTGAAGCTCAAAAATAAAGTTTGGCATACCTGATAAAATAATTGTAAATCCATATGGACCTGGGCTAAGACAGAATTATTACAAAATGTGCAGGGAGTCCTGTGGAGCTGTGAGCTGGTGTTTGTGTACAATACACAAAATTAAACAATTCAAAGTAGCTATTCAATCTGATTAAAAAAAAAACAAACAACTGCACACACAAAAAACCCCACAACAACACAAAAATATTCCACTTTGAGAGAATTTTATGTAAGGTGCTAGAATTTCAAAAGTATTTAACAATCTGTACAACAAATTAACTAAGGGTTATGCAGAAAGTACAGCACTGAGAAACCTTAAAATTGAGCGACTAACACCAGGCGGTACAAGGATAAAACTTCAGGAAGCAGAAGAAATTAGGGCATATGCTAAATGTGCAGGTCACTACTGAGCCATCATCTTCAGAAAGTCACATAAGAAAATTTCGGTTTGCAAACAACAGCATAGAGTCCATGAAAATATTTCTGTACCTTAGAGATTGCTTTTAGAGGACAAGCAGCTGCGGCCTTCGACTACCGAGTACTAAAAGTCATACTGTGGCACTTGAAGATAACATGACCTCCAGTTTTATGTCGTTTTGTCTTCTGGAGGAAGGGAACATTTGTCTCTCTACCATTAGTCTTAGTGTTCTAGAATAAAATACGTGAGCACTACTTCTCACCAGATCTTGTCTGTCAAAGCCCGAAGTACCTTTACAAGTACAAGGAGTGAGTCTTGAAGCAGAACTTGGTATGTAGCTAGCTGACTGTTATTCCACAGTAGGATTATCAGACAGTACTTGTAAACCCTCAGCATTTATCATTATTGGAAAATACTTGATCTTCTAGATATTATGATGGAGTTACTACAATCCTATTAATAGCATGTGCTGAACCATTCATTGAAAAAAGAGATGGGTTACACATTATTCAGCTGAAGACAACTGGTAGATATTCGTGTGGACTGCCCAAAATTATGTAAAGGGCTTACACTGTCTTTTGGTGGCCACCTGAAAACATCCCTTAATACCACGCATATTATCTGGTCTGACAGAAAGCCTGCAAATACGGCTGTGACTGGGAAGTACCTCTTGGAACATGGTATGAGAGAATATTAGAGCTTTGGAAAGTAAAAAAGAAAAGCATCTGAAGAAGTCATTGTCCTTTCCAACAGTAATCATTTTTTGAAACAGCTCAGAGAAGCAGCAGGGCTTAGCTTGTTGTTCCAGTGTAACAGAAGCACACAAGCACTTCTTTGGGGCGTAAGGTTGCAATAATTCCAGGGTCACTGTTAAACCACAGATAAGACAGTATCATCTACCTAGCACATAGTATATATTTGCCAAATTAGTTTGTAATAAGAAATTATCTGCTTCATGCTACCTCAATTTCACAGTTACACATCTACAAAGCTTTATTTTGGCTTTAGGGGTTAGTGCTGGAAGTAGTGCTGACAGCTGCAGGGTGGCAGCAAGCTTTCAGACATACATTACTGGACATCCCTGATTAGTTTGCTACTTCTCACAGAAGCCAGCGATGAAAAACTGCTGGACAAACTTCAAAGTCACAAAGAGATCTCAAAACCACAAGTCACAGAGTGCGCTACAATTACGCTTCCTTCTGGAACTGATCAGTCACTGTGAGCAACCTCTGCCTACCACTCCCCTGTATACCCAGAACTGTGCTGGTCCTCACAGCCTGTCCAGTGTTTAAGTTAAATACCTATCATCATCAAGGGCCTGGATATACTTTGGTGTCTTTGCTTACAAGAGTAGTTTGTGAGTGCCACGTGGCAGTGTCTCTGGTAATGACGGCTCATTCTAATATCCTCTCACCTTTGTTCTGTTATTATTTCAGAAGAACATATCAGCACTCAGTATACTTATTCTGGAGCATTAGAAAGTGTGACCAGTGTCTGCAGGATAATTTTTACCTATTACAATCTCTTGGCTTAATTCTTAAACCAATAAGGATCAAAAGGAATTTGCAGTATGGTTAAAGATAGAGGTATGTCACAGGTTGTGATTTTGTACTCAGTGTTGGCCAATGGGCAAGTGCAGATTGTTTTTGCCACGTCTGCCTCTGCAAGGGACAGGCAAGAGTGCTGAGGCAGATCCAGAGATAGTTGATACAGCCTACACGTTTGCACTGGCACAAAAATAACAACAAAAGAAGATGGTGGCTTGGTGCTGCTTCTGCATTGTGAAGAGCAAGTAGACTTCTGTACTATAAGCAGCAGTGGGCAATTTCTTTGCTCTAAAGGGACACTTGAGAATGAGACTAGATATTATTGTGAAGGTCTGCATTTTCTGTACAACTGGGAGTTGTACAGATAAAAATCCTCCAGTTATGTGTGGAAACCAGGAACTGATACACAAATGGTAGAAATGACAGATCCGTGTTTGGATTGTCAGCAAAGTCATGGCCCACAGCCTCTCTGAAGCTGACAAAGGTTCACATCTATTGAATTGTTATGAAGAAAAGGTGGTATCATGTATGTCATAAAAACTCCTCACCATGCTGTCATGAGTCCACGGAAGTATGCATTTTAACACTGACTCCTTCCATTAAGCTGATAAAGGTGATATACAAAACAGCATCAATTTGCTGTTGATTTAGAGGAACATAATATATGCTTTTTAAAATCAAATACTGCCTGTAGATACAATTTGGGTTTCAAAAGCCCAGTTTACAAAAGAAAATACATTCAAAAGAAACTATGATATTATACTTTTGTTTTCTATTTTCATACATAACAAAATGTTTTGAGAGGAGACCAAAAAAACACATTTAACTCACAAGTTTTATTGTGGGTTTTTCTAAGTGAAGGATGGTAAACACTCAGTATTTGATACAGCAGCAGACTGTGCAGATAATTGCCCATGAACCTGTGGCATTCAATTATACAGAGCAGGAAGACAGTGCTAATACAGCTATCTTACAAATTAAATGCTTTACCTATTTCTGTTTTTATTCCCATAAAGCCTATCTGATGATCTACCTAAATTTTTATAAATGCCTTCATCTCTAGCATGTGAGCTAATGGCTGTTCGATAGTATTTCTCACAATTCCTTTACAGTAAACCAGAAACAATCTACTTTTCCCAACCAGACGCTAATGAAACAACATTGAATTAATTTCAAGAATCCTGTTTTCACAGAGGTTTAAAAATGCATCTTTTTTGGGTATAAAAATAATCAAGGGAATGTTGTGGGTATGTTTTAGAAGTTAAAAAACAAGCAGCATTGACTGTTTGTGCATAAAGTGTGCTACTACACCATTTGGTGTATATGATAGTGGATAAGATGCTTGTTAAGCACAGAAAGGATGAGGAATTGACATGAAAGGGCAGTATCTTTTCTTGTGCTCTGTGCTTTGTATGTTTTTATGTTTGTCTTTTATTACATTATTACTGTTGTGAATTGGTATAGTTTTGCTTAAGAATCAACCACAGCTACTGAGAAGGTACCCCAGGGTACATAAAGGAAGAAAATTCGTAAGTGATTTGCAAGCCCTGTGTCAAACAATATCAGTTGGATATTTCCTATTCATATCATCATG